GCATTTATTAAATGTGCTGTAAATGTTAGTTTCTACTACCATTATTAAGACCGTTACCAGGCCCATGTTTCCAGAGATTCCAAGATAGTTAGTGCATCCCTGAGTATGTATGTCTGTGGCCTTTTCAATGTTATCTTTTACACTGTCAGGTTAAATAGCTTTTGGTCTGTTTCCTTAATGTGATAATCCTTCAGATATTTTTAAAAAATGCTCACATTTTGCATTAATTTGTGTTTACATTGTATTTTCATATTGGAAAAGGTCAGGCTTACATTATAAAGATAGAAAAACTGTTCTCATGTGCATAGTTTTGTTAGAGAAAGCTATGTGGTTTGTTGTTTTTAAATAACAGAATTCACTTTTATAAATAGGTATTGAGATGTAGTAAAATAGCTGGTGTGAAAGTATTGGAAATTACAGAGCTAATACAGAAGGCTTTGGAGAATGATCAGAAAGTTAGGTAAGTTTAATTTTTTTAGAACTAAATGGTCTTAATTATTTTTAATAGATTTTTTTTGTTAAGGACTTTTATTGCACAAGGGTAACCATATAATTTTTATACTCCATCTACCTTATATATTACTGAGTTGAATATACATACTACTTAATGTTTTTTGAAAGTTGATGAAACTGTTATGTTGTATTCCAATTTAAACATAATCTGTATTGAGAAGCCACATATTTTTCTTTTTAAAAAAATGAACATTTTCTTCAGAAAAAGCATCTAATAGTCAAAATTAACAGAGGAACACAAACTGGGGTTGGTTACCGTCTCTGCTTCCTACTGTGTGACATTTAGCAAGATCTATAACTCATCATTTCAGTGTTCTGTAATATGGAAGGTTGATACCTATTTGGTAGAGCTGGTTTGAGGATTCGAGAATGATATACTTTAAGCACTTGACTGGCACATGGTTTAATAAATGGTAATTATAGTAACTTTTTTATTTCTCTTGATAAGCATAATAAATTGGTGAGGTTAAGTTAGTCAAATAGCTTTTCTCTAATATTTCTCCTCCATCAAAAGGATAAAATGGTTAACTTTTCCCTTCCTGTTTGATCTTCCATCTCTCATTCCTCCCTTTTCACTATTCTTCACCCCCAAATAAAAAAAAAAAAACCCATACAGGAAAGAAGGTGGCAAGTTTGGTTTTGCAGAGTCTATAGCAAGCCAAAGAATCACAGCATTTAAAATGGAAAAGGCCCCTATTGATACCTCTGATGTGGAAGAGAAAGCAGAAGAAATTATTGCCGAAGCTGAACCTCCTTCAGAAGTGTATCTTTATTGGGTGTTTTTTTTTATAACAGGAATCACATCACTTTTGGCATTATTAGGTATATGGAAAGGTGTGCATACTGAAATTTGTTTTCTGAAACAATGCTTTGTTAAAGAAAGCATTTAAGATACTAGACAGTGATTAATTGTATTAAGTCCTTGGTGTAACATCCACCTCTTTAACTATCCTACAAAAACAAGAAGTGTTTCTTAATAATCAGTTCACAACATTTTATTTTCCTTTGGAAAATTGTTCATTTATTTTGAGAGACAGAGGAAGCCGAGGAGTGGCAAGAGAAAGAGAATCCAAAGCAGGCTTCGCACTATCAGCACAGAGCCCTATATGGGGCTTGAACTCATGAACCAAGATTATGTATGACCTGAGACAAGATCATGACCTGAGCTGAAATTAAGAGTCAGATGTTTAACTGACTGAGTCACCCAGGTGCCCCTGGAAAATTTTTCTTTAATCTCAATGGCATGGTCAGGCATTTTATATACTATTACACATTGTTCTTGGAAATTATTTATTCATCCATTTGCCAAATTTATTAGTACAACCCTTAAAAGCCAGTATGTCTGGATATTTCTCATCATTGCTTCCTTAAAATCTTACCTGAGTTAACACGTTTTTTTCTTTCTTATTGGTCAGCCATCCCATAGTATAGCTATTAGTAAAATTTTTTCATACAAACTTGAGGAACACTTCAGTCTTAAAACTTTTATTCTCATCTTTTTCAACACTGCGTCAAATAGCAGTAGTTTTCTTAACTTGTTAAGTGTTTCTAAACCTGTGCTTTGGACTCCTGGAACTGCCCAAATTGGAGAGGGAATAGAAAACTCGTGGGGTGATCTTGAAGACTCTGAGAAGGAAGAGGATGATGAAGGTGGCAGTGATGAAGCTATCATTCTTGATAGTATAAAAATGGACACTGGAGAAGTCTCCAATGTTGGAAGTCAAGGTAGGTAACACTTCATAGTTATGGCTTTTATGTAATACGTGTGAATCTTCCTATTGTAGGGATCTTATTTTTATATTAGCAGTTTTTTAGAGGGGCTAAATATTTTGTGATTTAAGTTTCAGTTAAACTGTGGATGCTAAACTACAATATTACTCAATTCTTTTCTAAAACAATGTGCATGTCTTTGTGGAGTAGTAGTACTCTTTGGTATGTAGTGGTGTTTTTAATATTTAATAATGTTTCGTTCTTTTTTTCTTTAGTATTTATATCTGGGCCAGATTCAGGGGGAGACGTTTTTCCAAGATTTCATTCCTGTATGCTATTTTTCCTTCTGTAGTTTCTAGACTCAAACATGAAAAGCCAACATCTACTAGAGTAGTTTTGTCCAAATAGAACTTTCTGTAATGTCAGGAATATTCTGTATGTATACTGTTGAATAAATATAATAGCTACTAGCCACATGTGGACACTGAGCAATTGAAATGTGGTTTCTGACACAGTGATTCTCAATTTTAAGTTTAGTTAATATAAAATTAAGTAGCCATGTATGGCTATTGTATCAGAGCAATATTAGAATACACAAAATTCTAGAATTACCTGGAATACTGTAGAACTGGAGAAAATTGTTTTTAACCTGTGGTTATTTTTACGCTTAGGAAAGCCAGTGTCTTGCTTTTGCATTAAAAATCACAAATCTTTTTTTTTAATGTAGTAAAAACAAATCCTACAAGGTTGGATGTAGGAAGTTAGGCAGAGAACTAAAGGGTGCATTTACTAAATCTGGCTGAAAAAAATAGTTAAGGCGATACTGTTTAGGTATGTAATAGGCATAGCTGCCTGTCGTCAAGGAATGAAATTATTACCTGTAAACATCACTGAGAGCCTGCTAGGGTTTTTGAAGGAAACAAAAAATCCCCATTGATTGGGACCCTTAGATATTTACTGTATTTGTACACCTATCTAAGTTGCTTGAACGCAGGGACTGTGAACGAATCGTTGGAATTTCATGTCGTTACATATAGATCAGCTACGTTTTTAAATGCATAGAATTGTAGGTTTGACAATAACTAGGTTGGCCTAATCATTCCCTTATTGAAAAATGTTATCATTTTCTGTTACCATTTTCTGTTCTAGTGCTACAGTAGGCATCCTCGCATATGCCTCTTTATATGTGAAATATTTTTCTAAGATTAATAAGGTTAGTGGCAAACAATCAGTTGCTGCTTTGAAGAGTAATATTTTCAGCTGAATAATCAAAAGTGGACCTATGATAATTGGGAGGATAAAGCAGGTAAAGCCTTTCTGAAGCAGGTCAACACAAAGAAACTAATTGTAAACTCATAAAGACCTGATATGATGTGCCAATTAGGAAAGGGTTAAATTCACATTATATTTTTCATGAACTAAGGCACAGGAGAAATAAAGGAAATACTCAAATAATAAAGGAAAATTCAAGGCAAAAGGGGATGTTTTCAGACTACTGTATTAGGCAGTGTTAAAAATATCACCATTGGCAAGGGTGACTAGGAAGATGGCTTCTTCATATACGTATTTTTTGGGGTATAAATTAGAACAGTATTTTTGCAGGATTCAGAAAAATATCTTTTAGAATGTATATGCCTTTTGACCCATTAATTCTGCTTCTAGGTATTTTCCTTCCTGTGTTGTTTATAATAAAGTTATGTAGATTTTTCCTTCTATTATGACATGTACGAAATGTAATGCAACTACATTGTACAAATGCAATTGTCATGTAATTACAGAATTTTTTGGAAATAGTTACGTGTTATTTTTCAGAGCTCCAAGGAATTACTTCAGGGAAGGGAAAAAACCAACTAGTGCTGTAAGCCTCAACTCCGAGTAGTTTGAGCTATTTGTATAGAAATAGAACTGCTGACATAAATCCACGTGGAAAATTTCCAAGAGATCATGTATATTGTTTTCTTAACATTTTCTTAAGATGCCCCTATAGTACTCTCAGACAGTGAAGAAGAAGAAATGATCATTTTAGAACCAGACAAGAATCCAAAGAAAATAAGGTAACAAGTTTCTGATTTATTTCAAATGTATACACATACTCAAGACTTCTCTGGTTTTAGTCTCATCTTGTCCTACTATAGACACCCCTCTTTTAATTTGAAATCCAGCTGTTCTTTCTGTGGTTTCTTCAAACTGAGATTTAAAAACATTAGGACCTAATTCTATAAAACTGGATTACTTTTAAAGTAATACTGCATTTTATTTTCATTGTTGGCAAGTGTTCTATATTCTACTGAAAAAAATAAGGCCACTTATTTTGGTAATCCGAAATTAATGAGCACAATATTAGGAGTCTGGCAAACCATCCATGGTATCAGCTTGTAGTGCTAATACTGTTAGTAAACTGTTAATTTATTTTATTTACAGAACACAAACCATCAGTGCAAAACAAGAAAAAGCACCAAGTAAAAAGCCAGTGAAAAAGAGAAAAAAGAAGAGTTGCTAATTGAAGCTCAACATAGTTGTATATTTGTGTATATAACTATTAAAAGGATATTTATTCAGTGCTTTGGGTAATTTTCTGTTCACAAGTCCATTATAAAATCTAGTCAATTCCATAATAGTTTTTTACATTATGCTTTAAAATAAACCTTTTGGACAACTTAACTAACAGGTTTTAAATAACTGTCACTTCAGTAAAGTGTTAAAGTTGATCAGGAATGAAAAAGCATTTTCTTAGTGTATACAAAGAGCTAAAAGATTCTCAGGATTATCACAACTGATGAAATAAGCACAGATTTATTCCAGATATGCTCAGATTATGCTCAAGTCACCAAATTGATCCAGTTGCTTAGGAAAATGAATGCTTAAACTTGTATCCGTTTTCCTACACAAGAGAAGCCTTCCCAGGCCCTTCTGTAGTAAATCAGATTAATTTTTTTGAGTGATATCATAGTCAAATCAAATTTGACTTACAAAACCAAATTTTCTAAATCCATTTATTAGTTCTTATTGTGCTGACAGCTGGCATCATTAATACTTTAAACCACTTAAAATTAGCCAAATATCTAAGATAGTTACATGTACAAAAGATATACAAATTTAAAAAAACATTTAAAAAGTAATAGATACCATAATTTGTACTTGACCATAACTTCTGTATTCAGAAATGATTGTAAAATTAAAACCTTAGAAAAACTGTACACCATATACTTTGAGTGATTTACATCTTAGGAAACAAAGGCAGTCTTTCACTGTTACACATTTAGTGTCTCTGGTGGATTGAGGAGAGAAACACCATGATACCTGTAAGTAGGGGGAAAAAAAAACAAAACTCAGCGAATACTGGGTAATGGGGCTCATGGAAGGACACATATACTAGGAACTCAAAACTGCTCTTTCTATTCTGATTGAGTTAATGGTTATGAAATCATTGTCTGGTCCACAAAAGATGCACGCATACCAGTTCCCCTCCCCTCTTTTCCCTCAATTGCAGGATAGAAAGGGTAACTACAGCCTACTCAAAACACCTAGCCTGCTAAGAGAATAGTTTCTTCTTAGGGAGGCTGTATCTGTTCTATGAATCCTCTGATAAAGTGAAAAAGCCAAGGGTCTCAGAATCCTGCAATAGCCTGGAAAAGCAAGCTTCTTTAGTATGTTAATTCTTACTTTGAACTTTTATACTTTTCTCTTATCGACTGTTGTGCATGCTGTGGTGCTCTGAGGTAGGTCTGGTGAAGGTCCATGAGGCAAGGCTTAAGACTTTCCAAGGTATATCCAGTCTTTTGAACTAAAGATTCAGGCTGCAGAGAAGTGGGTAGAGAACCATTGAGTTTTGTTTTTAGGAACAGACACCAAACACAGTTAAGTTAGTAGTTGTCATTAAGCTGGAGTTTTGTTAAATTTCAGGGCTAACACCTCCAGCTAAGAAATCTAGTTTTCTGGAGTCATTGTTCCATCTTTTATGCTGACTTCGGTCAATTTTTACTCCTTTTCCTGCCAGCAGCAGGTCTTCTGGCCTGATCCTTTAAGTACACCTTTCAAATCCAAGTAATAACTAAGCTTTCTACCTAACAAACATACATTACTAGACAGGTAAGACACTTTAAACAGTGTAGATTACTGAACAGTTTCTCTAGGTTAGTACCTCTAGACCACCATCTCTCGTATAGAACAGTATCTGACTTAACTGACACAAATGTTTAAGTTGCAAGGTAGAAGTGTGAAGACATCGAAATACATACCCAGCTTTGTCCTGTGATTGTGTAGAGTGCTAAATGAAAGGCTGCTGCAGCAATAACTGATGGCAAATACTTTAGGTACGGGTCAGCATCTATCAAACTTAATTCTCCCAAAAACTGCAATGGAAATGTAAGTATACTTTATGATCACAAGAGCTCTAGAATTCAAATCTCAAATCCTTGTCTTCTGACCCATTATTTTCCTGTTTTTAAGACTGGCTCTATGGCAACCATAGAGGAAAAATAATTCTCATAGCCCTGATCCATTATCTTAGTGTTTTGCTCCATCTTCATCCTGTATTTTTACCTCTTTTAATTTTTAAAACAACTCTTCTGGCTACCATTTCTCAAGACTTAATCCTCATTCCACTACTCCTAGTTATTTTCCCAATTCATGTTATATTTCAACAATGGTAGGCTCTCTTTATACTATAGAATTTGCCATTAAATACTAAATCCCTTGACCAAAGCTATAAAATTAAACTGTGACCTAAGAATCTTCATTGAACAAAATGAAAAGAACTTACCATTGCTAAACTTTCAACTTTGCAGTTGGCAGACTGCTGATGCAGAAAGTATTGGGTAAGAAACTGATTTACCGTTGGTGCAGCTAGGTCAAAAGCAAGCACTTTCAAAACTAGGTGCTCCATTCTCAGGACTTGTTTCTTGGTATAGGTATCATCTGTAATGTACACAAACTCTGCTACTTCTGGGGGGTATATTTCTTCAAACTTTCTACAATGAAAAAAGTTTTAAGTAATCAGTCCTTCCAAAAGAGAAGCAAGCTGTTTATCTAATTCTGAAATCCCTTTAGCAGAATACATGGAATGAGTCCCAAACCTACAGTCCACCAGTTGCCTGTTTCCACTGCTACTTGACCATTTCCAGCAGAGACTAGATATATGTAACTGAAAGACCCAAATCAGTACAGGACTCATGGGATATCTGTCTAGGGCGGTCAAAGAAATAAGAGGCATAAGCGTTTCCAAGATGGTAACAATGCCAGAGTTCAAGTAAATGAAAGTTTAGGAAATTCTTAGAAATACAAACATTTTTAGTTTTTAATTTCCATGTCTTAATGGGGAAAAGATATGATTTTATGCCAGAAAGCACTTTTTGATGGAAGGAACCACACTTTTAAATTTGGTAATCTAGTCCAAGTGTATTAAAATGTAGGCAGTCTCCATCTTCAAGGTACCCTAGAATCTAGACCTGGGAAAATTAGTATCCTAAATTAGTTTCCACACAGTTTCATGCTGCTACCCCTAAAGTAGTCACCAACTCTGCTTTGTGTATATTAAAATGTCACAGTGTTAAATATCACAACTTCTTCCCTACACAGAAAGGTACCAATCACTTAATCCAACAAACCAAGTTGGACTTACGAGGCTAACAGCATAGCAGCAGTGCCCACAAGCTGAAGTTTTCCTCTCAACACAGACATCGATGAAAGGAACCTATCAATGTAGTTCACAGCCAAATGCAGGGTCTCATTCTGTAGTTTATATTCTTCTCCTACTTCAACTAACCAGTCCACAAGGATAGCCCTCATACTGTTAGTGATGTCTGGCTGTTTCTTCATGTAACCCACTTTAGGCTTACATTTAACCTGTTGAGAAAGTTACTTAGTATAATGTTAAAATTGCAGTTAGATTATTCTACCATTAACAAAGATGCCACATAGCAGAAACATAAGTATAACATTAGACTAATTCACCACCAGTTAAGGAACTTAAAATTTCCTCTCAGTTTCATTTTGCCACAATGAATAAGTAACTATAAAAATTGGATTCAGAGAGCTGTTACCTCCATTTCCCTAAGGTATGTGTGAATGTCCTCATGGTAGTCTGGGACTTCATTGACACTTATTGGCTTTTCATCGTCTAATACAATTGATATGTCCATAGTATGTGGTGACTCTGGGAGAATATAAAAGTATGATTAAATTCATGGTTCAATTTTCTAATTAATTTAATAGCCAAAACTGATTGCCCTTGTAGGTAGTCCCATAGGAAAGCATTTATTTTATCCAACTAAAAAGGGCTGCTCATGAAAAAGTACATGGAATATTCCACTCTGGTTTTAGTACTTCTCTCCACTTGGTTTTAGTCAGTAAGAAAAAATACTAATAGGCTACTAAAAGGAAAACGATTTAAACATCAGGTATTATGTTAAAGTATCATTCATATTCCATGAGAAATAAGAGCAGATGGCACAGTGATTCTATTAAGACCAAGTGAAATCCAAAAAAGCCTGGATATATTATATATATAGTATTAATTATACAGTATTTATTGTAAGAGTTCACAGACCCCAAAGTCTGACATATTCAAAGTACAATCTAGGCAATAACTAAGAAGCAGGGCTTCTATGAGTGTGTGAATGAGAAAATGAGGTTTGCTATGAGCAGTTCAAACAAATTAACAATACAGTCAACAAATGATTCATGTTTGTAATTTTAAATTATCTTTCAAGGCAAAGAATATCATTAATCTTTTCACTTCAGGGTTCACTTAGAGGTTAAAATTTGTTGCAAACTTTAAAGACAAATACAAACATTACTTCCAAAGGATTTTCCTGCTATTCCCAGATCACTTCTCACAGTAGAACTAAAGAGACTGGATTTAATGAGTTGTCCAGTGACTCAATAGACCTATGGTAAAGAAATTGCACGAACTGTTGACAGAGCTGTCTTTATAGCAGCTACTTTAAATGTGGTTAAGTACAAAGCCATGGTTCAACACTTGACTTACAGGAGGACAATGTCCCTCTCTGGTATCAGATTGGATTTACAGAAACAAAATTTTAAAGCTGTAAGAGAGGGCACCTGAGTGGCTCAGTTAGTGAAGTGACTTCAGCTCAGGTCATGATCTCACCATTCTTGAGTTCAACCTCTGTTGGCCATTTAAGCCCTGCGTCAGGCTCTGTGCTGACAGCTCAGAGCCTGGAGGCTGCTTTGGATTCTGTGTCTCCCTCTTTCTGCCTCTTCCCTGCTCATGCTGTCTCTCTCTCTCTCAAAAATAAACATTACCTTAAAGCTGTAAGAGATGTTAGATATCACAATATTGAAAGCTGCATCCTATTCAAATATTCTGAGTGGTGTGTATAAAGTGAGTCTTACGAATACAACTAGAAGCAAGCAAACATTTCCAGGGTCAGATTAAAGTATGTGTTTGAGATCTAATTAAATTTATGTGATTGACAATACGTGGAAAGGACTACCTAGTTAGGATTTATAGATCACTAGGTCAACATATTAGCTGTGAAATCTGAGATGAGTCACACACTTTCTAAACTTTGTTACATTAAACCAAGTTCATTACGTAGTAAGGATCAAGTAAGAAAATGTCTTAAAATAAAAACAGCATTAATCCAGCTTATTTCTCAGTTTTTTAAAGAAAGGTTACTATATATTTTTTTCATTTTAGAGAGTGTGCAGGAGTGAGCTGGGGAGAGGGGCAGAGAATCTCAAGCAGGCTCCATGCTCAGCAAGGAGCCCAATGTGGGACTTGATCCCACAATCCTGGGATCATAGCTTGAGCCAAAATCAAGGATCAGAAGTTCAACCCAGCGAGCCAACCAGGCTCCCCCAGTGTATTTAATAATTATGATTACATTGATTTGATAAAAAATGTTCTTTAAAACTTACCAAAACTACCATCCATTGGATAATCAAGAGGTACCAGTGGTTTTCTTGGTCCAGATAAAGCAATAGCTGAATTAAAAGCCAGGACATTTTCATGTTCTGTTTTTTTAGATTCAGCTGGCCTCTTCTGAGTCTCTTCTTCTGCTTCATCCACATGAATGGTAAATGCAGGCTGTTTACTGTTTGCTTTCCAGGGAGGAACAGTGACATGCTCATCATTTATAGGAAGATCCTTAAGAGGTGCAACCTAAAAATGAATAAATATTTGGCTTTGAGCCTGTTGAATGGAGTCTTGGTTTCTTTCCCTTATGGATCTCGGTGTCTCCTTTTACTCCCAAATACTCTCAGGAAATTAAACTGGGGCAAAGTCCAGGCAGTAAAGTCTGAGTGGCTTAAGAAAGGGATGTTGAAATTCGCTACAGGCGTTCCTACCTAAGTTATAGAAAGAGTCACACTAAGTGGAATTATACAAAACGAATCAAGGCCACAAGATGGGTGGAGGGACTAGATGAAAAATGACAAGTTTAGGAGAGCCAGCGAAGAGGTGCTGGTTCACTACTTTCGCCCAAGGGTGGAGCAACCGAGCAAATCCGGCAAAATGGCGGAATTTACTAAAAGCAAAGTGTTTTTTATACCCTTTCTTAAAGTAGAGGTAATCTTAACCATATGGAGAGAGGAAGAGGGTCCAGACACTAGGGCAGTGCCTGGGTTTTAAAGCGGCGAGAAAAGCGAGGACACACGTTGTAGGGCTTGATTTAGGCCTTGGTTTGACCACCATTATCTATGGAAAAACATCCCCAATAAAGAGCAGACAGGCAACATATCAGCTCTGGCGAAGACAGCAATGGGGGATAAGCTATTAAGTGGCATCCCACACGCCAGAAAACTAGGAATCAAGGTGACTCAAGACCTAGGCCTCCCTTAAGAAAAAAGCTCGGAAGATGCTTTCTTGCCACGCTCCTTGGCCTGCTAAACCTCGTGCAAAACTCCCGCTCGACCCACCCTCCTGCAGATACTGCTCATCTCTTTACCCGTCGTGTCTTGGGCCTCTGCTGCGGCGCTGGAACGCGCGGATTCCCGGCCTTGAGTACAGCCAGCCCGGCCCGAGTGCGGGGCTGCTGGGCGGGCGCCACCTTCTCGGGGTTGATGTTCTCTTGGTCCTCTTGGAGCTCCGTATGCTGCAATGTTAGCAGCGCCGAGCTCGCCTCGCGGGCCGCAGGCCCGGGCGCGGAGCTGCCGAACATCACTGCTCCCGGGGTCGCGGCGGGATCAGCCTGCGGCGCCAAGCAGCGTGTGCTCCGTCCCGCCGACCCCACCAGGAAACGCTCCCGCCGTAGCAATCCGCTGCAGCCCGGGCCAGCCTGCCCGCTCGAGATCACGGAGTTCCAAGGAGCTTAAGAAAGGCGTACGCAGGAACTGCCGGGCGTGGAGGGCTAAAGACGCCCCCGAGATGTTGCGAGCAGCCCGCCGGAGCGGCGGCTGTTCGTACAGTTCAAGTATCCCGCGACTATTGAAATGAGCCAATGGAAAAGGCCGACGCCCGTGACGTCACCCGAGGCGACACGGTCGCAGGCGAATGAAGGCGGACAAGAAGGCCACGGAGCTGAGGCGGAGAAACGCCGATCAGCCGGGGGAGGAAAAACGCCCGCGCCGGGCGAAGAGGTGGTCCGGTGTTTCTGATGACTTTAAACTAGGCAACTAGTTGATCCCTGCGCTCTGTGCAAGGGCTGTCTCTTGGATAAATTGGATTAAACTTAAGCAGTTATTAGTGAGCCGCGCCAGTCGTTAGCCGTTGGACCTTCAGTTAGCCTGACTGGTTTCTCAAGGTCTAAAATCTGACCCAGCCATTTACTGGCCTGGTAATCGTGGTCCAGCTATTCAAGGTCTCTGATCCTCAGTTTTCTTATCTATTAATTGGGAGTAATAATGTCTATGTGTCATACGGTTCTCATGATTATATAATGAGCATGTATCATTACCCGCTGCTCATGTATAACTGATATGCAGATGTTGGACTATAATATCATCTTACCATTTAGGTGCTTCTTCAGTCATGCTTTTTAATTTATGTAATAAAGATGCAATTAAGTAAGGTGCCACTCTGAACTATTGTTGATATATTTATATATAAACATATTTCAAAGTGGCACCTTAATATATATTAAATTATATATAATATGTATATATTACGTATATACTACTAACGTACTACAACAAATTCAACTAGACAGTCACTGATTTTGATGCATCTTTCCCCAAACTGTGGCAGCCGACAACAAGCACCAGTGAAATTCTAGTGATCTTGATACAATTATTTGTTCCATTTAGAGGAGTAGGTTAAATATAATAAAAATGACTTTATTAAAATAAAACTGTGATATGTGCCTTTAATAAATTTTCAAATTTAATATACAAGGCTTGCATATAATAAATATAATGGTTTATGATTAAGAAGCATTACTGTTTTCTGACAAATTCATGAGTATGCCCTTCTTGAAAACATAGCTTATTTCCATTATAATCTTTATGCCATTTTAAAACAACCTTTAAATACAATATTTCCCTGAATATGCCAAATATAAATTATGATTAATGAACAAAACTTCTGTATTCTGTAACCTTAAAGTCGTATTTCCCTCCATATATGATAAAAAGGTAATTAGTGGATCCTAGTACAGGAAAATCTAAGAAGCCTTCACTATTTCTGCACTATTCACATATAGTACACCTGTACAGCTCTACTAGTTAGAGGACATCAAATTAAGATCCCTTCAATCTGTGGAAGCTCTGCTCATTTCCCTGGCCACAATTTACCACACTGGGCCAACTCAAGCATTTCACAAACTGAGCATGGATCACAAAAACATTACCTAGCAAAAGTGAAGTCAGTTGCATATCAGTCTCAACTCCTAGAAAAAATAATTGGTAAGTTATTTCCACTAGTTAACAATGTATGCAGTAACTAGGACACAAACCAGGCAACAGAACTTGGGATCTGGACTCAGTTTTACAAAATAATAACAGCATGTCTTCCTAATTCCTTAACCTCACAGATAATGTTTTTTTATAGACTTGACGAAATAATACGTATCATGAAGATCAGATGAAGTAATGTATGTAACTACATTTTGAAAACTGTAAAGCAGTTTATACATATATATGTGCAGCTTAAGTATTTGAATATATTTTTATTTTCGTAATATTTCTCAAAAATTAAAACATCCACTTGCAAAAAAAATCATTAAAGTCCTTTATAATCATTCCACTTGTTTTAATATAAAAATTCTCTTTATTTCTAAAAAGCTCCATTTCTCAAAATAGAAGCATTGCTAAAAGAAGTCCCATCTTAAATATTTTTAGATGATATTAAAAAGGATTTGAAATAAAAGTATGTATAGTTAGCTTGTCCTGTATTTCTGTTTTAACATATTTTGTATAAAAAGACAACTCTGGAACTTTACCTTGTTTATCTATTTCAGGCAGCATCAAAGAAAGCAATCAATGCATTTTGATCAGAACTGTCCAGAATCTCCAGTAAAAGAGGTACTTTGGTTTTTACATTGGTGCCTTTGAACTTGAACTTATCTATGAAAAGATCGGTGATCATGCCTATAAAGAAAAATGTTAATTTCCTATCATTGATTAGTACTAATTATTAACACAGTACTTAATGAAAGTGAGTTACTACTTGAAAATTTCTAAGCACTCATAACTGCATTAGTTAATATACACAAGGCTAAAGGGATTTATACTTTAAAAAATATTTATTTTGGGAGATTTTCTTTAAGTTTATTTATTTTGAGAAAGAGATAGCAAGCGAGCAGGGAGGGGAGCGGCAGAGAGAGGGAGAGACAGAATCCCAAACACACTCCAAGTTGTCACTGCAGAGTCCAAAGTGGGATTTCATGAACTATGAGATCATGACCTGAGCCAAGATCAAAAATCAGACGTTTAACCACTGAGCCACCCAGGTGACCCTATTTGGGGGGATTTTAAGGCAAGTTTCACAACAAATCATTTGGCTAAATCCTCTTAATTGGTTAAAATCCACTGAATTCAGACAATTAACTGCTGGCCAGTTATTTTTCCCACCAAGCTGGCCATTTTGAGATAGTGTAGACAGATTCTGTTCTTAAGAGCTGTATTTGAATTAAAATATTCTATCAATATTTTGACCATTCTTGGGATTTATCCAACATGTTTCAGAATTTTTTTATTTCAGAAAGATAAAAGGAATATACCACATATGGCATAGTATCCAAGGAGAATGAGTGACAGCATCTGCTAACAAAACAGAATAGTGTTTCTGTAACAAAATATGTGGATAAATAGTCACATTAAGTGGAAAATGACTATAACCTCATGCCAGTTTAAGTGAGGTGTTGTCATTAAATTATTAATTCATACAAGTTAAATTTGCTGCCAAATGATTTATGGAAGAAGCATTAGTTTTCAAAGCTTTCTGGATTTCTGAACTGGTGATAAGAGATGGTTTTGTACCACCTATCTTCTAAGTTATTATAAGTATAAAAGGTCATGTGTTTGCCATATCATAAATATTAAGATATTAGGTATTATTGTTATACTTTGTGAGCAAGTCCCAGGGTAAAAAATAAATTCATTAGGCAGGCTTAAGGATCAGTGTGTATTGAGGATACCAATTGACTATAAAAGATCTGGCATAGTGCAAACAGCATGCAGTTTGGAGTGAGGAAGTTCTAATGCAGGCTTTGCCACTACATATGTGACAACAAATTTTTTAGTCTCAGATTTCAATTTAAAAAAAATGTGCAAATAGTGCTTGCTTTAGCAGCACATATACTAAAATTTTAAAAATGTGAAAAAGAAGATAACACCATCTATGATGCAGAGCTGTTGTAAGGATTAAAATCCCACCTGATTATGAAGATGTTAAAAATAAATAGGTAGGCTATGCACAGTACATCTTATATAAAGATTGCAAAAAAAAGTTATCCTTAAGCTGTTCCATCCTTCCTCTTTCTCTCCCTTCCTTTACATCTCCGTCTTGCTTTCGCCGTTTTTCATGACAATTTGTGAAACACCCAACTTGTCACCACCAAAGCTAAGTGTTTTGAACTATGAATTTATAGCACAATATATCATTTAATTCCTTTTGCCTAAAAAGTATTAAGTGCTGCATTTTGATATTTCACAACATCAACAAAACCTAAAAATTATTTGTGTGAAATATAACCTACATTTTAATGCTTCATAGGTTATATTCATTTCACACCAGGTCTCCTCATATTAACAGAAATTAATTTACTGCATTACACCTATTTCACTTTTTCACTTTCATTTTATCAAATAAAAACATTAAATATTAAAACTAATTTGACAAAACTGGTTGTCACTGGTTCATGAATGCTGTAGTCTTTGCTTAAATCTTTGTGCCCATTTTCTCTCACATGATCCTTCACAAATAGCCAGTAGGAAAGCAATATGGCAAGGTTTTCTACAATAGTTCACTAACCGTAGAGTCTTTCCAGATGTGCAGGTTGCTTTTTGTATTCTTCCTGTAGCTGATCTGCCTCTTCTAGAATACAGCGATATTCTGGTATCAGAAAGTTTGTATTTCCTTCATGAACCTGCAATTCCTTAATTAAAATTAAAAACAGAAGCACTTTAATGTTCAAAATTCAATCTAGTGTAACTTTAAAGTCATTATAATTTTAGAAATCCCATTGCAATAAAATAGTGATCATGAATCCACAGAATATATACTTACTTTTAAAGCATCAATTAATTGAACTTTCTTAGCCAAAAGCAACTGGTACTCCAGCTTTGGGTGGATTAGCTTTAAAGTGTGTTTGACTGATACTTCATTTATCTCTAGGAGTTGAGCCAGACACAATTAGATAAGTTACTTTGATCAGAAACATTCTTATTGTTAACAACAAAAATACGCCAGAAAAAAATTCATTTTTCTTTCTTTTTTTTTACCATATGATATGTTGAGGTTAATTTTCCTTTTTGTAGCTTCTTTAGAGAGCACATCTTTTAGGATGGATATAGTAGAAATGTTGTCAGATTTAAAAACTCCTTCTCCTTTCCTATAAAATTAATATATTTTTAAAAGAACAGTTTTAGAAGAAAATACATACATTAAATAGGTCCAGTAAATAACATATTTTATGACTAGGACCTGGTTTTTAAAATTCATTTCATTTCAGATCATTTATATACATATCCCATTATTAAAGAATATTTAAATGTGTAACCTTTTACTAATTATATAAATTCAATTTCTGAACATAATTGTGAAACTAAACAAGATGTTAGATATATGCCTCTTAAACGTGATAATTACAGAGAAGTCCTTCCTTAAAACATCTTTTTACTTTACTTTCACTAATAAAATTTCCAACAACTAACCCCATATGTATATAAAATGCATTTGGAATTGCTTATTTACATGCTATTCTTTGATGTAATCATACAAATCACAAGATGGCTACATTCTTCATTCTCAAAAGAAAGCTGATATTAAACCTAAAACTAACATCTTCCGTTCTTCCATGCCCATCATTCATGCCATTTATTATGGACAGAGGACCCTTCATCTCCTTTACAGAACCACTTATTTGTTCTCTTACCTTTCTAATCCATATATAATTGACCCCTGAACAATGTCAAAATTGTTCAAAAATCTGCATAGAACTTCTGACTCCCCAAAAACTTAACTAGTAATAGCCTACTGCTGACCAGAAGCCTTACCAATAATATTAACAGTTAATCAACACATATTTGTATATGTATTATATACTGTATTCTTAAAGTAAGAGAAAAGAAAATGTTAGTAAGAAAATCATTAGAGAAAATAATTTACCGTACTGTACTGTATTTATAAAAGAAGTCTATGTACAAGTGGTCCCATGAAGTTTAAACCTGTGTTGCTTGAGGGTCAACTGTAGTTTCACTGGCACTGGCCTCAACTCCACTTGTGGGACTTTATTAGGAAGGATTTAGCAGAGCATTCCAAACTCATGGCTTTACGCTGGCACCTAATCCTGGGACTTTTATTGGAACTACTAGGAAAGAGAGGCTCTAGGGTAGATGAAAAGATAGAAAACTAGATGGAATTGCTGGTAGCCACATGGCACTTAATAGGAAAGACAAAAAAAGACAAAAACAGAGCTAAGCAATGGAAAGGGATAGTCTTGATGATATCAGGTAAGCCAGTGGTCCAGTTCTGCCTGAGGCAGATTACTACTAGACTTTTTTTTTTTTTAATTTTTTTTTTTTATTTCTAGGAGAGAGAGAGAGAGAGAGAGCACGTGAGCAGGGGAGGGTCAGAGAGAGAGGGAGTCACAGACTGAAACAGGCTCCAGGCTCTGAGCTGGCAGTCAGCACAGAGCCCGACGCGGGGCTCGAACACATGAACCGTGAGATCATGACCCAAGCGAAAGTCGGACGCTTAACCGACTAAGCCACCCAGGCGCCCCAAATTACTACTAGACTTTTAAGTTATATGAGCTGATAAATCCTTTTTACTTAGTTAAGTCTTCTTGTATTTGGTTCCTTGTTATGATAATCAAAAGTTTCCTAATATATATACCATCTTTCATGTATTAAATGCTGTCTTTTTATTTGGTTTTCACACCAATAGTTTATATTCACTAGCTGTAGACAAACGCTAATTCTTTTTTCTAGAGAGATGGACCATACATACTATTTTGATTTCAATTATGTTTTATAAGTCATGATATTTTCACTAGTCTTTAATTTTAACTGATATTTAATTTTAAACACTTAATAGTACCTGGCACTGTGGAATGATTCACATGGTTTATTTTCTTTTAATCATCACAACTCAATGAAATGCTATTATTTCCAACCCCCCAAAAATAAACCTGAAGCTCAGAGAGTTAAATAATCCAGGTAGGTCACATAGCTGGTGAGTCACAGAGCCATGATGCAAACCTAAGTATGTTTGCCTCCAAAGCACATGCTTCTATATTTTCTCCACATATATGTATTTTATTCAGGCACCCAAAAAACATCTATTGAGCAAAGCCATGTGGTAGGTACTTGAAGGAAACATACAAAAATAATTAAGAAACTGACTCTGCCCATGAAGAGCTTAAATTTGAAGAAACAAGCTTACATAAAAATTATTATATACTTCAAACAAATAACAAATACCTAAGACAGGTAAGAATAAAATACTATATATTAGAACAGAAAAGAATCAAGGAAGGCTTCAAAATACAGCTACTGAGTTGAGCCTTGAAGGATAAGCAGAGTTTTGATTGTTAAGGAAAGAATATTTAAGGACTCAGAATGGTAAAGAGCAAAGTGTATGCTATTATAATAATACAGAATATGCTAGGGGCAAGTTGGATTGTCTGCTATGATTAAAGCGTGAGGTTTACTGTGGTACTTTGAAACAGGAGTCATTATTGCAGGTTTAAGACACATGTTGATCACCTGGAGAGCAAAGTAAAACACCTCAACAGAACTGATGCACAAAAAGTTATATTGCTGGATACTTCTTGGTCCCAAAAGGTTATATTCTGAGGTAAAATTATGTATTCACTGCTATTTCCAGAATTTAGCATGGTAAAGTCTCAGCTAGGAAGCAAGAAATAAAATACCTCAGTAATCTGCTTAGGGAGAGAATCCTAGACAGAGAGATCGGTATAAGCTCAAAGAGCGGACATAGAGAAATTAGCCTTATCCAAGAAATAAGTCATTTCACATTCAAGAGATGGGAACAAAGAAGAAGGAAAATGTAGCCTCTACTGTATTCAGAAAAGAAATTATAGAAGCCTACTGGAGATGAGTGAGTAGTGACAGTAAAAGGGCAGGGGTGCAACTAGGAGCTTGACAAGAGTGTAGAATACGACCTCTACCCTTTAACACGATAGCTTCAAAAGCCTGTATTTTTCGGGGCGCCTGGGTGGCTTAGTCGGTTAAGCGTCCGACTTGCACTTAGGTCATGATCTCGCGGTTCGTGGGTTCGAGCCCCGCGTCGGGCTCTGTGCTGACTGCCAGCTCAGAGCCTGGAGCCCGTTTCGGTCTGTGACTCTCTCTCTCTGACCCTCCCCTGCTCACACTGTCTCTCTCTCTCTCTCTCCTAGAATTAAATAAAAAAACATTAAAAAAAAAAAAAAGCCTGTATTTTTCTAAACTCTCAAGTTCTGAGCCATTTCCTATTGTGCCTAGAGAAATTTAACTGGAATTTTTATTGAAGTTAGAATAAATGTTTGAATCAATTTGGGAAAGTACTGCCATATTTATGTCTTCATATTGATGACAACTGAATATATTACTCCATTTAATCAAGTCTTTTATGTCAATAAAATTTTACAGTTTCTTCATGTAAGTTCTGCATTTTTCTAATGACAGGTATTCCTGCAGATTTTATATGGATATTTTGTTATTGTTACTGCTACTCTGATAGGGTCTTTTCAAATAATTTATTTTCTAACTGGTTATTATTGGGAAGAGGAAAGGTATTGATCTTTCATATTTGTCTGTATTCAACCATTTTTTTAAACTCACTAATTCTATTTGGTTTTCAATAGAGTCTCTTGAACAGTATAGGTTTTCAATGACATTATTTTCACGTTATTCCCGCCTTAAAACAAATAAAACTTCAGAAGCTCTATTTACATAAAAACATTTATGAACCAGTAATAAGTTTTATTTACCTGTAGGTGCTTTCAAGTTGTGTATCCAGGAAAGTGTTCTGAAAATAAAATGTCACACATTCTCCTGCTGGAGGTTTTTCAGGAACTTCAGGCAGGCAAAAAACCACCCAGGAGTGAACTTCAGCAAAACTGAACTGGCCTGTTAAAGTCAGTGTGTTCATTGGTCTGTAATTTAATAGTGGAGGTACACATTTGTGTGTAGCAATACATGGAGGTATTATATGTATATAACACATGAAGAAACAAAATTTTGCAATAGTAGATAAACAAATATAAAAGTATCCATTTCATTTTCTTCAGATTAATATTAACCACAAGATAACAATTTTCAATCTCATGAAAAAAAGAATGCTTATCTATATCTGTGCCTTAATATTCAATTAAGTAACATAATAGCTTTATAAATAAAATTCAGTTTATTCAAGTAGACTTCATTTTTTAAAAGTTCACCTATATAAACTACAAAACATACACAAGAACTTCCTTAGGGAAAGAATCAGCATAATGTGAAGGGTAAAAAACTGGGCTTTCCAGGGCACCTGGGTGGCTCAGTTGGTTAAGCATCTGACTTTGGCCCAAGTCATAATCTCATGGTTTGTGAGTTTGAGCCCCAAGTTGGGCTTTGCGCTGACAGCGTGGAGCCTGCTGTGGATTCTCTGTCTCCCTCTTACTCTGCCTCTCCCCTACTCATGAGCATGTGCTCACTCTCTATCTCTCACCCTGCCCCCTTCAAAAATAAATAAACATTAAAAAAAGCTGGGCTTTCAAGTAAGATAGATGTGGATTTGAAACCTTCCTGTTTACTACCCATGAGCCATTGGGTAAGTTAGAGAAAAATACCTGATATTTTGCAAGGACATGGAATAATACTTTTCTATTTTGCAAAATCACACACAGAGGCACACATACATAAAAGGTTGTAAAATAAAATAAATTTAAAATAAATCAAATGGATGATTATAAACAGTTAAGGAAATACAAAGTTCAAGCAATTAAAGGTTCAGAAGAACTTTAAGAATATACAGAATTGGGGAGCCTGGGTGACCCAGACAGTTAAGCATCTCACTCTTGATTTCAGATCAGGTCATGATCTCACAGTCTGTGAATTCAAACCCTGCATTGGAGCCTGTTTGGGATTCTGTCTCTCCCTTTCTCTGCCTCTTCCCCATTCTCATGATCACTCTCTGTCTCAAAATAAATAAACTTAAAAAAAATTTTTTTAAAAAGAAGCAGATACAGAATTAAGGAACCTAAGAATTGGAAGAGACTTTTGAGATCATCTAGGCCAATCCTTTCATTTCCAGATAAGAAAACTAAAACCCAGATACATTAAAGGATTTTCCCCAAATCAAAGAGGAACAGATATAGGATTATAATCTGAGTCACCTGATTCCCAGTTTGCCTTCTTTCCAACACACCATGCATGCTACCTCCATTAACAACTTAGACTTTAAAGCAGGAAGACACCCTATAAAGAATCTATTCTCTTTAATGTTTTCCAGAAATCTCTCCTAGGAATATTTCTCCTCACATCTTATTTAAATTACATATCTCTGAAATTACAAACTGCAATAGAAAAAAAATGGGCTTTGGCCTCTAATCATAACTGTTTCCTGTATCAGCAAGTTACTTTTCCAAGCCTCCATTTCTCACTTGTAAACTGGGGACATTACTACCTACCTGCCTTGCTTGCTGTAAGACTTAAATGACAATGCCTAAGTACCTAGTACAACATAGAGCAGACGTAAAGTATTCAGTAATTGTTCATTTCTTTCCCTTCTCCTTCATTTTAGTTCATGGTCTCTCATCTTCAGGAAAGAAAGTGAAAAACTAACAACAGGAAGATGTTTAAGTTGGACTGGAAGTCAGAAATAACAGGACTATCAAAACCAATTTATTTACCAGCATTCCCTGAGGTGAAACAGAAAGGAAATATAACATTTGAGGCTAATATTATAATAAGATCCTGTTCACAGAGAACTCAAATGCTAAACAGTATTTATTCACAACAGGTATTTGGGAGAGAGAAGTGTTACTCTACTGAGATCAGAATGGTAATATATGAGAAAGATAGGAAAGTCCAACTCAAACCACCCATTAAAAGAAGACAAATCTTATATTAAAAATATGAATCCACAGCATTTAAATATTTAATTTTTAAATGTGCAAATAGCTACCAGAATTTATACTATAAAAATGAAAAGCAAGTTTATCTGTATCATGTAATATCCTAAAAAATAAACTGCTCACTCCTTTGTCCTACCTGTCATGATCAATAAAGTGAGTTCTTTGATGGAGTGAAAGGGGTTTGATAAGGTATTGGCGGACCTGACAGGTTTTGGGTTGAATCCTTGGAGTCACATATGCTTGAAGCGTGCCATATTGGCCTTCAATTGAACGAATCTGATTCAACAAAAGAGAAAAGAAAGTAAGAATATTCTAGCAACATAACATAAATGTTATCTTTAAAATGTTCAACACAAGTAATCAAGTAATTAGACATTAATCTCTTCTGTAATATTCTGAAGGAAATAATGACATTTTATTAAACAACTACTTTTTACCACTAAAAGAAAATTTAAAAAGCTTTTGTCAGGCAAAAGCAAACTTAATCTATAAAAGTTATCCCCACCACATATTTTTAGGTAATTTGTCTACACTTAGAAGTGCTATGTCATTCCAAAAAAAACGTACATTCTTACATACTATCCCATCACACCACCAGTGTCAGATTCATATCAAAAATGGTTACTAGACATTTTGTTGAGGGGGATAAGTGGGTTTTTCAAATAACTAAAACTTAAAATGTAATACTTCCATTTTCTCATAAATAAGAGTATGATAGCATACAGCTATTGTTATAATAACCTATTGACAGAAAAAAATGTAAGAACTTAATTCTTAATTTTCTATGAAAATAGAGAAGTATACACCATCTAATTATAACATATTTGGATTAGAAAATTCTTTTGAGTTACTTTAAATATACCTGGTTGTACCTCCTGAGGATTCAAAACACTTAACAGAAAACAAAAATTCATTACAATGTGAAGAATTAATTTCACAGGAGTTAGAAAGCTGTTCAGCTTCTCCCTCTTGCCCCCCTCTCTGTTTCTCTCACTTCAAATTCATAGATGGACTGTAGTACTTCTTGTATTACAATAGTAGGTTCTCTAACTTGGCTAATATTTTAGTTTTAATGCTTATTTATTTTGAGAGAGAGGGAGAACACACTTGAGAGTGAGTGGGGGAGGGGCAGAGAGAGAGGGAGATAGAGAGAGAGAGAGAGAGAGAGAGAGAGAGAGAGAATCCGAAACAGGCTCCACACTGTCAGCACAGAGCCTGATGCGGTGTTTGATCCCATGAACCATGAGATCATGACCTGAGCCAAAATCATGAGTCGAACGCTCAAGTGACTGAGCCACCCAGGTGACCTGCTAGGTGATACTTTAATTCACACTTTTCCTAGCATGTGAGGGGGGCAGAAATCAATGTTTTACCTACATGGGGAAAATAAATAAAAGTTTAAAGTCTTTTGCAAATGTTACACTGCAAATATTACTCTAAATGGAAAGAGAAGAAAGATGAAAGGATTAAAAATACAGAAAAGTGGGGCGCCTGGGTGGCTCAGTTGGTTAAGCGTCTGACTTTGGCTCAGGTCATGATCTCATGGTTCATGGGTTCGAGCCCCACATCGGGCTCTGTGCTGACAGCTGGCTCAGAGCCTGGAACCTGTTTCAGATTCTGTATCTCCCTCTCTCTCTGACCCTCTCCTGCTCTCTCTCTTGCTCTCTCTCTCAGAAATAAATCAAAAAAATTTTTTTAAAAATACAGAAAAGAAATAAAAAATATATCTGATATAGCTATATTTCAGGGTTTTTTTTTAAAGGTAAGCTTATACTAGCACATAATTTTTTTCACAATAAAAAGCCAAAATGTTTTCTTTGATTATATAACAATTCACATTATTAAAATATAAATAATACAGAAAAATTAGGATGAACATACAAGTCACATGAAATCCTACCACCCAGAGATGATCATGATTGCTATTTTGGTAGTCATGCCTTCATACATTTTTCTATGCAGAAGTACAAAAACAAAACCATAATTTCACATGAAGAAATTCTATTTATATCAAAGACATCTTTCTTATTTCTAATAGTCCCATTTCCCCCTTATCTTTGTCTCTCCCAATGGCATCACCTTCCTCCCACTCCTATCCCACCCATGCTTTCCCCTATGGCATAACCTATCATACCAGACAGATGTTTCTTTTCAAAACTTCATATTTATACTACTTAGATAAAATGTATTTACATATTTAGGGATTTTATCCATATTTTGTTTTTCATGGAATTTGCTCCATGTTAACAGGAATAGATCAATGCCTTCTTTATTGCAGCTGTGTTATATTACATGGAATGCATAAATAGCTAATTATTCAACCACTCAATTATTGAATGTTCACATTTGGAATATTCACTCTGCTTCTACAAGCAATATTGCAGTTAATTAAATACATATCTGTGTGTATAATACTGTGATTTTATTGCTTAAAATAGATTCCTCCAAGTGGGACGATTGCCTGTTTTGCCAAAGAAGCTGTAACAATTTTTATTTCCTTCAGCTATGATTGAGAGTGTCCTTTTACTCATCCCTCCACATGGTGATGTTGCTTTTAAAAATTCTTTTACCAGTCAGTTAGATAAGCAGAAAATGTTTTTTATTATTTTAATTTGAATTTCCCTAACTAATAATAAGGTAGAATATTTTCTTTTAATATTTGTTAGCTATTTTGACTCTCTCTTGTGTGAATTGAGGCACAGAACATATTCTCTGCCTATTTACATTACTGCATAGTCATTTTTATAACAAGTTATAGGCAGTCTTTGTGTTCTATTGATATTCACCCATTACCTAAAAGACAACTAAATTTCCTTCTTTTTAAAAATAATTAAGTACTTAATTCATCTAAATTTGTTTTTTATATATGGCATTAGGATAAGAATCTACTTAATTTTCTTCCAGATAGATACTAGTTGTGGCAACACTAATTTTTAAACAGAAATAGTAATTTAACAGAATTTTTCCCTACATAAAAATGTCATGCATTAGGGGCGCCTAGGTGGCTCACTTGTTTAAACATCCGACTCTTGTTTTCAACTCAGGTCTCACCATCTCAGGGTTGTGAGATCTACCTCTGCGTTGGGCTCCACAGTGGGCTTGAAGCCTGCTTAAGATTTTTTCTCTCCCTCTTCCTCTGCCCCTCCCTCACTTGCACTCTTTCTCTCAAAAAAAAAAAAAAAGTCATACATTAAATTTCCATGAATGTATGTTAGGCATACAAATGTATCTCTAAATAATTTTATTACATTCCCTATTTATTTAGGCCTTATAAATACCATACATTATTTTTATTATAGTAGTTTTATAGTATGTTTTACCATATGGTAAGTTCTACCTTTTTCTTTTTCATTAGTTTTCTTGCATCTATTATTGCATCCAATTAAAAAAAAAAAGAACATAGCTTTTTGATATATGTAGGTCTACTTCCCAATTTATTGGCACAATCTTGTTCAGTGGATATGTAATTTAAAATGTTTAATTAGGTTACAAAAAATAGATTTAACTATCTTCCTTTAGGAATAAATTCATTCCAGTTTTCAGTTTTTCTTTCAAAATACACAAACGGGGATGTATGCAGAGTAAAATAAATTGTTTACGAAAAAACCCTTACAGTTAACTGGAACTTCTTTAACTAGATGTGAAAAAGTTATTATGTAACGACATCTCTCTTGAAAAAAACAGACCGAGTCTCTGAATATCAGCAACACCAAGAAAAAAGTTACAGTCCTTAATTTTTTAGATCATAAATGTATCAAAAATAGTTTTTTAAAAAACTCACACAAATTCATTAACTAAAATAGATTTGTGTGCTACTATCAGTATTTAATTATGAAAGAGATTATATTACTAAATTGCTAAAGAAAACATTAAATGATTTTCTCTAAAATAGATGGTAATACATGACATTATTGGAGTGCTATCAGAAAAATCCAGATGGTAGGAAAACATAGGACAAATGCTCAGATACTTCAATAACCATTATTACCTGTCTGGACCATAACTGGATCAAACAAACTGTAAAAAAGAAACTCAGTGAAATCTAAATACTAAATATTTGATGAAACTAAGGAATTATTATTAATTTTTCTTAGGTGTGATAATAGTATTGAGGTTATGTTTTCAAAAAGAGTTCTTATCTTTTGCACATATGTACTGAAACATTTACAAATGAATTTACAAAATATCTTGTATTTGCTTCAAAATATTTTGAGATAGACAGCGATAGTATAAACAAGAATGCCATGAGTTGATGACTACTGAAGCTGAAGTCATTACTTTTCTGTATGTTTAAAACTTTCCATAATAGAAAATTCAAAAAAAAATCCACTTAGAGGAAATTCAGGACTGGTAATTTCAGAGAAGGTGATTGGTTGTGCGCCAATAGCAGAGATAATTGTTTGGGCTGAGTTAAAACCTAACTGGTCCAAGGTCATTACTCCAAAAGGACTCATTTCAGAGGGAAAAATAATACAAAGAAGTGATATGATACACTGCAAGATATACCAAGGTGGAAAAAGAGTTCAAACTTTCAATTAAAGGTAATTTCAAACATTTTTACCTTGAGTTCCAGCCTTGTGGTATTTGCCTGGCACCGATAAGTGGCGAGAAGAAAGTTGTCATTTGACTGGGAAGAATACAAAGTTAAGGAAAAGGATGAATTCACATATTTATAATCATAAAAACATCATCAATAATAATGGTTACTATTAACAAACCACATATCATTTGGGTGACACTGTGCTAAGTGCTTTTTTCTTACTCCTACAAACAACCCTATGCGAACTTGTACTAAATAAGTTTAAACAGATGGAGAAACTGTAGCATTTGGGTTAGGAAAATCTCCCCAAAGTGAGTAAGTAATGAAATCAGAATCCAAATTCATACTTTTAAGATGCTAAAAGTCATGTTCGTTCCATCCTGAGTTTCTACAATAACATTTTTTTAATGTTTATTTTGAGAGAGAAAGCAAGGGGGAGGGGGCAAAGTGAGGAGAGGGAGAACCCCAAGCAGGTTACACACTGTCAGCACAGAGCCCAACGAGGGGCTTGAACTCATAACCATGAGATCATGACCTGAGTCAAACTCAAGAGTAGGATGCTCAAATGACTGAGTCACCTACATGCCACTACAATACTTTTAAATATTAATTTTTCTAAAAATTTAACTGATAGCACAAACTTCTAATGTTTATAATAAGACAAAACATCAGTGTTTGGTGTTGAATGTCTCTGATTATCATGGTTATAGCAAATAGCACAGTGCCTGGGATGATACTATAAGCATTCAATACATGTTTGTGGAATTAAATTAGACAGGTTACTTCAAATATGACAACATCCTAAAACTGAATATTAAACTACTAAAAACAGAAATATATCTGGGTCTATAAATTGCAAAAACAGACAAGGCATCATGAAATACGTAGTATGCAATTTTCATGTACTACTATTTCCCTGTTTTTAAAAAGTAACTAAAGAAAAAGGATGCTAGTATCAAACAGAAAATTTGAACATTTTAATTTCAAGTCATTTAAATTTAGTAAACAGAATATCAATCAACTTAAAAATAAATACACTTTCATGTGGTTAAAAACAAATGTTATATCTGACAAAAACTGAGGACTGATGGATGTGGGGGGGAGGGGGGATGGGCATGGAGGAGGACACTTGTGGGGATGAGCACTGGGTGTTATGTGGAAACTAATTTGACAATAAACTATTTGTAAAAAATAAATAAATGAACATTAAAAATTAAAAAAACACAAATGTTACATACCTAAGTACTTATGAGTAAGATGATAAAGATTAAAATACATGAAATATCTGGGATTAGGTTTGGGATAGGAGAGGGAGGAGAGCATAAAACAAGACCTGCCATATGTTGAAGTGAACAATGAGTACATGGAGGTTATTATACTATTCTCTCTACTTCTGTATATACTTGAAATCTCCATATTAAGGCTTTTTTTTTTTAAAGCCATCATTCTAGAAAATGGGCTTTAAACTAGTATGCAATACTCATTTCAAAGAAACCTTCAATGATGTAAATAAAATAGTATAATCTTTCACAGTAATTTCGGGATTAAGATTTTAAGATTAACGATTTTTTAAATGAAAATAAAAATGTAGGCCTTAATCTATTATGTTTTATTCTCAAACAGGGATGACAAACCATATATATTGCATAATACAAGTATGATAAAATCTCTTTAAAAAAAGCTTTACTATAAAATTAGATTAAAAACTATTCCCTAATATAGTTATCAACTTTGTTCTTCATCTACTCATTTTATTCTTGCCTTTTTTATATGTATAACGACTTGCCAACTCTAGTCACCATCTCCAGCTCTGGCTTGCCTTCTCTGATATAACCATTCCAGACCTTATCTTCACCCTAACTTCTCTCCAGGAGCCACACTTTGCTCTGAGACTGCTAGTGTGCTAGTATTGGGCAGGAAGTAGTGATATACTAAGCATATCAAAAGCTCTGGTACAGTCTCATCCAAGATACTTTACACATGGTAAGTACCCAACAAATGTCTGCTAAATAAAGGTTAAGCAAGATTCAATGAGCCCAGAAAAGGTGAAAAAGAACAAGCAGAAGAAACAGACCATGTTTAAATGTAGGAATGTGTGAAACTATATAGCATTTTCAAGAAATTTTAAGAACTTCAGTTTGGCAGAAGTAATGTGCATGGGAGGGAAGGTAGCAGCTGTTAAGAGATAAACTAGAGATGTAATCAAGAGCTGAATCATGGAAAGCTGTTATGCCACAATGAGAAATCTGACTTATATGCAGCAGGGACAAGAAATGTTTAAAGGTTTTGAGAAAAGAAATGACACGGTGATGTTTATATTTTAGGAAGACCTCTCTGGTGGCAGTGTACAGCAGAGCCTGGAGGTGAGAGGCAATACTGGAGATAGAAAAACTGGTAGATGAGTAGTTCAAGGAACCATGATAAGGGTCTGAAAAGTTAAGAGAAGTGGAAATGAAGCAGAAGTACAGAAGCCAAGGAGACAGAACTGGCAAAAACTATTGACTATTTGGATTTAATAGATCAGAGAAATGAAAAAATCTAGGACAACACCCCAGTTTTCTGGATTATCTGAAAATAGGGAAGATGAGGAGAAGCAGATTTTGAGGGAAAGGTTATGAAAAACAGATCGAAGAAGAAACATTAAACCTTAGTAGCATCTGCTAGGCTTTATTTAAAATGGCATAATAGAAATGAAAGTGTCTGAAAAATTCTTGATATTTTTTACTCACCTCAGAATCACAGCTGCTAAAGCTGACAACAGCAGAATTTTTATCCACATCAAGTAAATCTATTGGAACATCACTCTACAGTCAATATTTAAAGACAAACAAAAAATGGTTCAGATGGAAATCTAAAAATTTTCACAAAACTTTACTTTCTCTAAGAGTTCTCTTTAGTTCTAGTTCATGTTCATCTTTAAATCTGAGCACACAAATTCTCTTAATTTACATTTGGTAATATGTACTTCTAGAAAATAAATGCAATAAAGAATAAATGTTGTATCACAATGACTTATTTTTTTCTAATTTGGAGTACTGGAGATCATAGACCATCATCTCTCACCACCCCTTTAGAAGTATAATCTTTCTACCTATTTTTGTCAATGCTAAAAATGCTACCATAGGCTGAAAATAATAATATGGCCATTCTGATTATATCAGTTCATTTTTATCAATTTATTTTTCATCTGCAACACAGAAATGAGATAATTTTTACTCTCCTCTAGAGAGGTAGTTTCTAGGGCACTGTTGTTACACTCAGTTCTATCCTAGAGCTGTTTAATTCAGCCCTTATGCTAGCATTACTTAAGACAGAGTTCAGCCTTTAAATTTTAACTAATAATCTGATCTCTCCCCCACATCTTTTTAAACCGTCTTCTTTCTCCACTTTATTCTCTTCTTATTTTCTTATGGGTTTTCCATCTTTTGTTTGTTTCCCATTCATCCTACTACCATCCTTTCCCACTCCCTGAATATCTTGCAATTTATAGAAAAACTAATTAAATATATTATTGAATGGAGTTGTGTATTATTATCCCTAAATTTCACCTTTTATCTACTTTGTCTACTGACCCACCCAGAAACTGGTAGTTAATGAGCAAGCTATACTGTAAGCTACCATTTTAGAATCTTAAAAAAAAAGGTTCTAATAAGGGCTTTAAATACTGCAGTTTTCTAAGTCACATCTCTTAAAATTCTCTTAAGGTCAACCAAAGAACAAATTCCTGACTGTTCTTTTTAATGCTTCTTGAAATTTAAGTTCATCAGTCTTTTGTTTAATAATACTTAATAGGATAAATAAAAAGTAAAAATATAACTTAGATAATCTATGAGAAAACTGATTACCTAATATAAGATTAAGATAAACCTTTAAAAGTACTATGTAAGCTAAATGCAACATTTAAAAGATAAACACTTGGGGCGCCTGGGTGGCTTAGTCGGTTAAGCGTCCGACTTTCGCTTAGGTCATGATCTCGCGGTTCGTGGGTTCGAGCCCCGCGTCGGGCTCTGTGCTGACTGCCAGCTCAGAGCCTGGAGCCTTTTTCTGTTTTTGTTTCTCTCTCTCTCTGACCCTCCCCTGCTCACGCTGTCTCTCTCTCTCTCCTAGAAATAAATAAAAATATTTAAAAAATAAATAAATAAAAGATAAACACTTAAAATTACTGTCTAAAATTAAGTGTTCAATAATAATTAGTGCATATGACTGGTCTGCAAAATTGACCCAATCACAAAACAAAGAAATTAGATATTTTGCTTACCTGTATTAAGACATTATCTATTGCTGTCTGCACCTCTAAGATGAGGCTGTAGCTGGCATCATCTTTATTTAATGTAAACTTATCATTTATACTAAATGAAGGTACTGCTGATTTTGCTTTGCTGGATTGGGAAGACTGTTGATATTTCTCTCTTTCCTGTAGTATCTTATACTGCAGATGTTCCAGCTCACTCCTAGAGAAAAATGTATACAACTGTCACCTACAAGTATAAACATTTGAAGTCCTTAAAATGATTACAAGAATTTGAGACATTTACTTGTACAAAATGGATTTTTATTATGACACTAGAACTAGAACTATGACACTAATACAAAGTTTTGTTTCTATGATTAACCAAACAATTCCACATTATTTATGTCTAATCTAAAAATTAAAACTCTGTCCCATACCAGCAATATTAATAAAGAATTGTAAGTATCAAGGCAGGTTGAAAATAATAAATTTTAACATATAAATCCAGTTACAGTTACATATAATACTAATCAGAAGGGAAACTAATCGTACTGGGGCAGAGAAACAATATTAGATTTAATTTGAAGAAACAACATGTGTAAAACCAGTAAATATATGCCTTTCAGTAAAAATTAGGTGAAACAGACAAAATAAGGAGGCTGTGGAGTACTAACATTTTGGGAACCACAAGATGACCATGAGCCAGCAGTATAGCTGAGGTTCTTCTATCAAGTGTTGAAAAGGATTCTGCTAACATTGAACTATACAGGCATTGCTTCATTGCTTAGAGTCACTCCAGTTAAAGGGAAACACCATATGCAAATATAGCAACTAGTAACTGAGAAACAACAGCATGAGGCTTAGGCAGCCCCCAACATGAGGCTTAGCCAGCCCCAACTTAGGGTGAAAAGTCTGGGTAAGAGCTTGAAAGGGATTTGTGCAATAAACAAAGGAAAAGATTCATTCCTACAAGAAATATTTACTTAGTGCCTCATATGTGCCTATGTTGAAGGTACTGAATGAACAAGACAGACAAGCTTCTCATGAGCTTATATCCCACTGGAATCAGGAGGGACAGACTCGGTTATAAATATAAGGTATAATACTGAGGATGTGAGATAATAGTCATTAATTCTGCTTGGTTTCCTTATTACATGAATGTTGGAGCTTGGAGTCCTAGTGGCTGTGCTAACCTGGCTTGTGATAAACTTATGGTGTAGTGTTAGTGAACTAGTCCTTGTGGTATTTTGCTGCCTTAAAAACTTACATAGCCCTCAGTGACCACCAAAAACAGATCGGCCTCACCGCCCCCAAGAGGTTGTAAGGGTTGAAATAGGGAAAGTAGTCATTAGAAGTTTCAGCAGCTCCTACTTTATTGTATGAAGCAATTTTTTTTTTTAAATATTTTTATTTATTTCTATGAGAGAGAGAGAGAGAGACAGCGTGAGCAGGGGAGGGTCAGAGAGAGAGGGAGACACAGACTCTGAAATAGGCCCCAGGCTCTGAGCTGGCAGTCAGCACAGAGCCCGACGCGGGGCTCGAACCCACGAACCGCGAGATCATGACCTAAGCGAAAGTCGGACGCTTAACCGACTAAGCCACCCAGGCGCCCCTGTATGAAGCAATTTTACTTGAGTCTGGAGTCTCTTTTCATAGAACTTGTCAAACTGAACAGGCCACAGAAGCAATCCCTGTGTCTAAAGGAGTCATTACTCATTTCCAGTAAGAAAACTGATAAACCAATGTTACAGATTCATAAGCGTCCACAGGAGCAGTAAACATTATAATTAAGAAGGAATACAGTTGTCTGTGTTGGTTTTATTTCTAATGTCTGTGAAAAAACAAACCATTACAATTATCTATAACTAAACAAATGAAAAATACAATTTTTGATCTAAGAAAAAGTATAGAATAAAGTAATATTTTTATAAAAAATATAAAAGGTATATTTCTAACTGTAAAATACTAACAGCACTTACTGCAAATTTTCCCAAACTGATAAATTTTATTTAAAAAGGTGACAAAATAATTGTATAATTCCTTCCAATAAAAGATATTGCATCATTAGTAATAAAAAACCACACACTTTATAAAATTAAAAAAAAGTAAGCAAAAAAACCCAAAATTACCTTAAGTTAGAAATTTTATTTTGCATCTCCTGATTAATTTTTACTTCTTCTCCTGGTCCACTTTCCTTATGTACAGGCTCTGTTGTCAGACCTGTAACCCAGCCTGTAGAGATGAATTACAATCATGCACCATTAAGCACTACTAGTATTAAAAGAAACCCCAATACATATGTCACTTTATCCACTAACATCAACCTTATTTAGTCTTAGGACTTATTCTCCTTCAAAAAATAAAATAAAACAAAAAAATTTATCAAGCTGGAAAACATTCAAGCCATAAAGCAACTACTTAATAAGCATTCTGTGATACTATTTTTATTTTGCCTAAACTACTATACTACTTAGAAGTATCTTTCACTTCTCAATTTATAGTTTTAGTTTTTAAGTATGAAATAAGCCAACACATTCTAGCAAGTTCAAAAATACTGATGAATTAGAAGGGTCCTTCAAAAATCAGTTATATCAAAAGTTAAACTTTTTTTTTTTTGCAAGGCATTGCTTATTTTAAGAATGTAAAAAAATCACTAACTCAAAAGCAAGGGAATTTTTATAAGAAATATAGACAGTAACAAAACATAAACTAAGTTTCAGTAAATACTTCTTTTTAAACCAATGAATATCATTTACTTTTCAAAGATTAACTAGAACATGGTAAGTACTCTATTATTCACATATTAACTCTTTTATAAACCAGTACATCTACTCCTTCCCTCCTTAGTTTTTAACCAATAAAGGTTTTAATGTTGTATATAAGACTGATTTACTAAAAACACTTGTTTTAAAAAAGTTATCATCAAAGATAATTTATTAAGGTGCGCCTGTGTCAGTTAAGGGTCTTTCAGCTCAGGTCCTGATCTCAGGATTGTGAGATTGAGCTTTATGTTGAGCCCTGGGCTGAGCATGGAGCCTGCATGAGATTCTCTCTCTCCCTCTCTCTCTACTCCTCCTGATTCATGCTCGCTTATTCTCATGCAGTCTCAAAATAAACATTTAAAAAAATAATTTATTAAATGTATGTTTTTTCTTACGGGTTCTTTCTTTACCTATGATCATTTCCCTTACCTGAATATGTGGATACCACAATTTCATCATAGCCTTCTTTCCCTACACAACCACCTTGGATAGATGTGACACTTTCAGACAACATCTAAAATAAATTTAAGATCAAGCAATTCATTAATAACTAAAATGTTCACAGACATATTAAAATAAGACATAAAACTTATTTTCCTGTCTCCAGACATTCAACATACATTTATTGAATACTTATTGGAAACAATAAGATTGGAAAGGCAAAAATCCTGCACAAATGGCAGAAAATCCCAGTGCTTTTAAATTTGGGGAAAAGAAAATTGAAAATGACTCATATATTTGTGTGTAGCACTCAGCCAGAGTAGCTACATAAAGAGCAAAAATCATTTATTTATATAAAGAAGGTTTTTTTTTAATCACATAAGCAAAATTCCCAACATGTTTAGTCTATCATCTGAATTCTACATACCACCTCTCATGTGTTTTTTCCAAACAGTTTTTGGAAATGAATAAAGAATAAAGTTTTTTAGTTGAATAAAGGAGATGATAGCCTCTATTAAACCTTTAGGGAATTTTTATCCCCATATTATCTATGTCTATACATACTTTGTCTATACATCACAACATCTGTATTTGCTGATCTGCAGTTAAAGCTGGGAATGAGGGGTAGCACTAGTAGAGAAATCAGACAAATAAAAGCTGATACTGAGTTGTTGTTTTAAAACAGCCTCAATCCATCCTGCATAAAGCAGGATGTGAAAACCCTGGCCTGGAGAACACTACTTCATGAAAATGAAAGATTCATTTTACAGCAGAATGATTCTCCGTGTAACTCTTTACCTTGGCATAAACAAGCTTAACTACATTTAAAATCTGTGGACTAAAATTACTCTTATGTAGTAATTCTTATTTGGTACACTCTTGGGTGGCTAGAAATGAAATTGCAACTTTTCTCTCTGCTTAAGGATGTTTTGATATTGTTCTACTTTAAAACAACAGTCTCGTTTATGTACCCAAATATATAAATGTTACTCCTGTAATCCACTATGCATTACAGAAACTAAGGCAAAACAATATTTCAGATATACAATATTTAGAAACCAAATGAAGAAGTAATTTTTTTATTTAGCTGGAATGCAATAGTCTGTTATTCAAACACAAGAGTAGTCTAGAGAAGATTTTGATAACATCAAGGCAGCAATATTCTAAGCCAAACACAAGATTTTAATATATTTAATAAAATCCAAACCATCACAGTCATCTCTATAATTATTTGATGACTAGTAAGCATATATAGTCTTTTTAAAAGAACTGACCTGATCAAATCGTAGAACAGGCTCATTTGCACTGTCAAAACTATACACTTCCACCATTCCATCATCTCTCCCAACAAGTAAATCTTTAACCCCATCACCCACAATGTCAAAGCTGTCAACACACAAAATACCTTTAAAAAAAGATGATAGTGGTGACAAGTTATTAATAAAACTAGTATTACAGTCAAGTACAGACAAAGTAAGACTGACAAAAAAATGTATAGACTGAATCCGAATGGGGAAAAAACAACAGAAAACTTGGGAGCTTAATCAGGTGTCCTCTTTTCCACCCACATTCATCCATTTCCAAGACTTTAAATATAATCTAAATGGAAATGGCTCCTAAGTTTTTATCTCCAGCTCTGGCCTCTCCCCAGAACTCCAGGCTCATACATCCAAGACTCTTTACAGTATCTTCTTTCAGACATCCATTTGCTTCTCAAACTTCCCATGCGCCAAAGAAAATTCTTCATTCAGCTTTAGCACACCCCCACAGTGGTCCTTCCCCAAACTCTTCTCATCTCAGTAAGGTATCACCCAGTTGCTCAGGCCAAAAATCTAGACTACATCTCTGATTCCTCTCTTTCTCTCACTGCCCAGACCAAATCCCTTAGCAAATCTTACCAGCTCTATCTCCAGAATATATAGTGAAATTGAGTCCTTTCAATTTCCATCTACCATTGGCCTAGCCCAGACCACCTATCTGTAGTCTAGACTAAAATAAATTCTAACAACTATAACAATGATTTCCTAACTGATCTCCATACTTTGAATTTTGGGCTGCTTTCCCAAATCCATTCTCCCTGGTATGCTTTTTGTTTTGTGTTGTTTTGGTAGATTAGATCATATCATACTCTCCAAAGATTCCCACTGCACTTAGATTAAAATTCAACACTTTTCCAAGGCCCACAAGGATCTACATGATAGCCTTATGCTACGTCTCTGACTCCTCTTGCCATGCTGATGCATTTAGTCACACTAGTCTTCTCTTTGCTACTCAAATAAACTAAGTCTACCTATGCCTCAAGTCCTCTGCCCTGATTTTTTCCTCTTTCTGGAGCATAATTTCCCCCCAAATTTTTACATTACTAATTCCTTTTTTTTTTTTATCAATCAGATCTCAGCTCAAATTTCACCTCTTATGAGACACCTTCTATTATCATGCAGTCTAAAGTTTCTTCCATCCATCCATCACTAATGAATCACTCTCTGAGATTTTTTTCAGATAACTTAGGTGAAGTTATCTTACTTATTCATTTGTTTATTCTCTGTCTCCCCTAACAAGTATTTGTGGAAGAAATAAATGAATATATGAATAGAATATGTATAAATAGTCATTTTACTACTTTCTAAGTCATATTTAAATTTCCTCAGAAAAGTATAAATCCTTTAGAAAACAGGAGCATTCCCTGACTCACTGTACTACTTCCTTGCTTCATATCAAATACTCCTAAACTCCAATTAATTCCCTACCAGTGAATAATGGATTAGATCTTATGGATGGACATTAGCCCACAAAATCCTACCTATCCTAAATTACTATTAGCATTGCTTAATTAAAAAATGATGCCAACATATGACACACCTGGAAGTAAACAAAGAATAAATAAATCTGAGGTGGCTCTGGGAATTGTTAAGTTTACCAAACACTATGAATAAATAAAACAGAATGAACTATATAAAATTTAGGATATTTAATAATCAATGACATTCCAGAATAATAAACTACATCAAAACATACCTCCCCGCTTTTTCTCATTTCGAATTTCCCACTTGTGTATTGGTTTGGAGGTAGTAATCTGAATAAGCCCAAGTTTTCCATCTGACGTTCCAAACAAAAGGTCTTCTCCAGAGTCACCTAGTTTATAATTATAGTCAACATGTTATATTTATCCCATGACTCAGAAGACCTCCTTAAAACTGAAAATTTTTCACATACATGGACTTTAATGTAAAAATCTCATTAAACAATATAAAAAGACAGAAAACTTAATTTGAGAGGATGGTTATATAGTCACAATATTTTATAAACTAAGAGATAAGACCCTTCCTTATCATCTAACTTTAAGATGAGGAAACTGAAAATTGAACTTCAGTAATTCATTATTATTAGTTACCGGCAAGTTATCAGATGACTACTGTCTCAATTCCAGTTGATTAATATATATTAAATGATTAAAAACACAACATATAAATGATTAACTATACTTAATATATAAATGATTAAAAACCTGAAAAACCCTTATTTTATCGTGATTACCGCCATTTCCATTGTGTAGTGCTAAAACAGTAGGTGGCCCAGGAACTTCAGTTTCATACATCACGTCAGAGCCCTGAAGGAGAACAAATATTTTAAAACTGAAACAGAACACAAATTTAAAATAATATACATACTCATACTCCTTGATAACATCAACATTCATATAATGAACTCTAGAATAAAACTGCCTAAAAAAGTTAGCCTGTGATTATTAACTTGCATTTCATTAGTAATTTTGTATATGTTAACTCATTTTATTTTTTTAATTTAATTTTTTTTTGCATTTATTTATTTTTGAGAGACAGAGTAAGACAGAGCATGAGCAGGGTAGGGGCAGAGAGAGAAGGAGACACAGAATCCGAAACAGGCTCCAGGCTCTGAGCGAGCATTCAGCATAGAGCCTGACACGGGGCTCGAACCCACAAACTGTGAGATCATGACCTGAGCCGAAGTCGGACGTTCAACCGAATGAGCCACTCAGGTGCCCCCTAACTCATTTTAAAATATGTAAAGATCAATAAGAAATATTTAAAACAATCTACGCTTACAATACTTTTCATTTTAAATACCTTGTTTGCCTGAAAATTGACACTGGGAAATTTTCCTATCAAGCTTTTCAGGAACAAGTTGTTTGTTCTGTTTTCTTTAATTCAGAGCACAAATATTTAAACAGACCTAAAGTTACTTCCTAAGGAAAATTCTGGCCTTGCCTTTGGGTATTTCCAAAACCTACTCCAGTGAGAGGCAGAGTGCCTGTTATTTAGATAAGAAAATAAGTTATGTCCATTTATTTGTCTCTCTCAAAATTCTGCCACTTGTAATGTTTTCATTTAGTATACAGTATTTTGTGAAGCTATTAAAGAATGAGGTACTTATAAGTACTTAAAGTTACATGGAAAAAATATCTCTGATATATCATTCAGTGAAAAAAAGAACTTGTGAAATTATAGTAAATATGTAATAACATTTTTGTTAAATCAAATATATATTGAATATATAAAAGTCATGTGCTTTATCTTTTATTTAAAATTACATTTGAGATTTCATAGATATCAACTATATAAACACAAAAGAATACACAAGAAAACGAAAAAAAAGGCTACCTCTGGGGCAATGGATAATGGGGAGTAGATGGGGAGGGTGGAAGTATGAAGGGCAGACCGAAGGTTTCAAGTTTTAACTTCTCATAAATCCTTAGTGAATTTTTTTTTATAGTAAGCACATGGATCTCTTCTAGTTGAACAAAGCAGAACCTAGAATCAGCTGGAACAATTTCTAATTGAATACTAGCTCCTGTTAAAAGCCTTATTCAAACCATTCATATTTGGGAGCACAGGCTGTAGGAGAAATTAATCATTCATGCCTCTAGTATGAATCTTGAACATTATTTTCCCATGGGGGGAAAACCCCTCAAAGAACCACTGGATTTGTCCTTCTATAAAAGGACTGATACCAAGAAATGGCCATCTGACTATGAAATTCCAAAGAATGAGATAGCTTGTGATGGCACAGAATAAACAGCTAGATTTTTTTGTTCAACTGCACTATCATCAGCCTAAGTTTCTGATCCAAATAGTCTACCTGTTCTATGTTATTTGCATTAAACTTTAGTTTATGGATACTGGTGTGTGTACATATGTGTATTTTATTGAAAGTCACTTTTGAAAAGACATAGGTGTAACTATTATACTAATAACAATATCTTATGCATCATGGTTTTTAATAGAAATATAAGGACAATAAAATGATTTTTCCCTCTATCATTCATTTATTTACCCAACAATTAAGTTTACTGGGTGCTTATTTTGTTGCACATATTGTCATAAATATGGAATAAACTCAAATGATACAACCCTTGATCTCAACTATTCCTTCTTTGTTAAAGCCTAACATCCACTCCTCAACCCATTTCCTCCATTAATTTGATTCTGGTGGGGGAGGGAAGGATAATGGAGGAAGAAGGCCAAAAAAAAAAAAAAAGCTGGAAAGGGTTCTATAGCAAAGGCACTCCATTCAGAGTGGACTAACTCAGAAATTATGTATGGGGGTGGGGAGAAGCATCATTTTTCCATATATGCCTCTTAAAGCTCGCCAAAGATCTTAATACATTTGCCTCAAGTTAAAAAAAAATTAACTTTCCAATCAAAAGGCATTTTTTCCAGATATAATTTTAAGTAAGACATTTAAAGTGGTAGTAATAAGTAATTTATCTTAAGTACACATTGTTCAGCAATATTTTTTTTACATAAATTATGAAAAATGATAAAAATGAAAATCACAGAAACCTGTAAAACTCTGAGCACTCTGTCCTGGCATGCCAATACCGGTGTTATACTAGGTAATCTTTCCACTGGAAGGCAGATGACATCATTGATTTTGTCCCCAGAAAGGTAATAATGTTGGTCTTTGCAGTCACAGTAATGGTTATAGATGTAGCTTGCACTGAGAAAGAGGTCTGAGCCAGATACATGCCTGAGAACATTAAAAGTAATACAAAATATCCATATTTTAAAAAATAATAATAGAAAACTCCTGAATTTTTTTGAGATGAAAATAAGTTTATACAGTTTCTATCATTTTATCACAGATTTAAAGAATAACTTTTTTCCTCCTCATTTCCTCTACTTAATTTGTAGCCGTTAGGTATAACACTGATTTTGAAAGCTAAAAATGAAGACCTTAAGTTTTTATGCATCTCAAAAATTAAGCTCAGAAAAACTGAAAATAAAGACAATGATAATTTAACTGTCTACATCTGAAGACAATAAGAAAAAAAGAACTTTTTTTTGTATGTGTACTATGTGCCAAGCACTGTCCTAAATGATTTACATGGATTACATGGATTAGTTTAATTCTCATAATTCTGGAAACCAGGGACCATTATTATCCCTTTTCATAGAGAACAGTAAAATGTTAGGTAACTTGCCTAATGGCACACAACTAGTAGTGGAGTAGACTGCATCAGGTGGCTTTTAGCTCTAGAGTTCGCTTACTACTACACTGTCTAGTAAAGGCTGTTGGAAATGAATCTACTTTAAACTAAATGATAAACATTGAAACAAAATGATTTCATTAGATTTTTATCTTGAAAAGAGAAATAAAAAAGTTCATGTAAAATTATATTTAACAAAATTTAGGCAATAATCATAACAACATTCTAATTCTTATATCAATTCCTGTTTTCACTGGGGGAGCTGAAATTTGACAAGAATTATATACTAGTTTATTATCTTTCACTTGGGAAGGTAATTTTATTTGAAAGTTTCACATATTTCTCTACTTCTAAAGACTAAAAATTTTTGGTATTATAATTATTCCTTATCCTATAATGATCCTCACTGATTTTCTCTTCTTCCATTATTGCTTAAGTAGCCTTACTTTGTGGCTCTGCATACGATTTCAGTAGTCCTCAGTATCGTTTTCATCAACCTAACAAAATTCTATCTTTTCAAGATATAAAGTTTCATCTTGAAATCCATCTGTATTACATTTGCAGTTATACTGCAGTTACACATTTTCAAAGTACTGCTTACAATCACTATTGTTGACAAGAGTGGGGATAGATAGAAGCATTAAGCAGGGAAGGGATGCATAAGTGGTAACCAACTTTTTAAGTGTTCTCTTATTAAAAACTGTCAAGTTATAGCCTTGTTTTCCTGTGCACCCTTATAAATTTGAGGATTTAGACAATAAATTTTAAAAAATTAAGTGAAGATCCTCTCCATCTCACCACTGCCACTCCAGAAAAACCATTTAAGAAACTAGCAAGAGAGACTACTGGCTGGGAAATGCCTTATCTTCCTCAAACCTCTGCCCATATATCCTTCTGAATCTGAGTGATGATAATTATTAATTATTTTGATTTTAGTATTTTATAATTATCATTGGCCATGTCTATCTACAAAAGCATTTTAAAAGTATTCTATTCTTAGTAAATTCACTCCCACATGCCACTGTTTAATTCTTACCTAATCTCACCAAACCAAAGTTCTGCAGCCTAGAAGTTAGTACATGCGATATGCATTATACATAATTACATAGGATAGCTCTGCATTACACGGAACTCTGGATTAAGTTAGTAGTTTTCACACCAAGGTCTGGTTGCTTATACAACTTGGATGCATCACAGTCAAAGGAAGAACTTTTTCCTTTTAACCCACTCCTAATAATTCTGATTCTGCAGGTATGAGTAAGATAAGAAATCTATTCTTTTAAGCTGCCAAGGGATTCTCTTCAGTAGTAGGTTTGAGGAGAGTGGGTTCGATAAACTTTAAAGCCCTTTTCAGCCCCACATGACTAAAAAAACTAAAATTTAAATTGCAAAATCTCACATATCTGAAAGCCATTAAGGGAGTTATTTCTTACTTAGTGTCTTAACTGATTTACCTAAAATTATATCGTATCAGTAGTTACCAACTTCGAAGGCCAGCTTTTTAACATAATGATGCTACCTCATAACCAAAATTACCAGACATCAAAGGAACAGGAACCTAAACACCTCTAGATTTCTTTTACTTTTTTCTTTTACACCTTGATCATGAATCAACTGAACCAATATAAATACTATGAGAGTCTTTAGAAAACACTTCAACAACCAATTGGTTTTGTACAGATTCTAGGTTAATTAGTTTCTGACTAATAAAGTACCTTTAGACAATTTTACTTCCCAGGAAACCTATTAAGATATAAAGCTCAATCTGATGTTTGTCACCTATCTAAAATATTGTAAATGGATACGTAAAGATAAAAAAAAGGATGAACATACATAGCTTTAATGCTTTCAGTGAGGTTTGTTTCAAAAGAGAGGAACTGTTTTCCTCTCTTTGTGAAGCCTCTAATCTCAGATCCTGCAGCAATAAAAATTTTCTCCTGGGGTGTGTTAATAACCCCTCCTAGCTCCAATCTTGCAATCTTCTGCCCCGGTAAAGTCTTGAACACTGCCTGCAAAAATCATCAAGGAAAAAATAAAGAAGACAAATTTACTGTAAGCATGTTCCTTTACTATAAAAATACACTGTGATTTCAAAAACACAAAATATTATAGTTCCATTATATAGAAACATCTTGAGATACAAATGTATTTACTTCAGTGGGGCTTTAAGGTTTTGGGCTAAATATCTTCAAAATTTAGAACTGCCACACATATTTCAGCAACATCATTAAAATCTAAACTCCTGCAACTCAAAGTAGAGTTCATTAAGTCGTGTCATTAGTATGATTAACCTTATTAAGAAGGAAGACTTTCAAGCCCAACCCCAATTGTACTGAATGAGAACCTGCATTTTAACAAGATTCCTCCACTGGCTCCAATGAACATCTTTTTACACTTGAATCATCTTTTTAAAATTAATCTCTCTTGTTTACTTTATAATTTTTATAAATTTTAGTAGTATAAATAAAAGATTGAAGAATTTATTGAAAACCTGAATGTATAATTTGATATCTCTCTAACTAGAAACACCATTTGTATCATTAATTTCTTCCTGATTATTTTCCATATTATTATTGGTACCAGTTTCTCTCTCTCCCCTCTAATGACTTTATACAGAGAATAAAGTATGTGATAGAATATACAAATAATAAAAACACTGGGTTTCTGAGTGTTTACCCTATCCATCTTTTTATAAATTCTACATAATGTGTAGTGAATATGTAAGCGTTCCCAGCTCAGACCCATTGCTTGTAAACTATGATCTGTCAATATGATAATGTACTAATCACATCCTTGATTAGATTACATTAAGCTGCAAAGGTGATGGGATAGTCACTTCCATGTTATATTATGTTACATAAGACTCTACCTTAGCTGACTGGACAGATTTTCCTGCTGGCCTAAAGTAGGTCACCACGTTATGAGAGGGCCAGTGAGAGGACCACATGGCAAAGAACTGTGGGGCCTCAAGCTGTTGAGAGCTGGCCCTAGCTTACAGACAGCAATAAAATGGGGACCTCAGTCCTACCACAGCAAGAATATGAATCCTGTCAACAACTATGTAAGCTTGGAATAGGACCCCAGCATCAGAAATGAATAGAGCCTAGCTGATATCTACACTGTAGCCATGTGAGACATGAACCCAGACTCCTGACTCACAGAAACTATGAGCTAATAGTATTGATTTAAACCCCCAAAAGTAATCTGTTACACACCACAGGAAATTAATACATCACCCTGGATGTCAAAGGTGTTTTACAGCTAGCTAGCACACGACTGTGGTGTTGCCTGTAGCCTCATACTTCATGTAACTACTTTTCTCACAATGGATTTTTCATTGTTTTTAGGACAATTTTAACCTAAGAGTATTCAACAATTAGTGCATTTCTCTTTTAGAAAATCAGTCAGTTAGGTGTCTGACTTTTGGGTCTTGATCTTGGGGTCATGAGTTTGGGCCACACGTTAGACTCCTTGTTGGGTGTGGAGCTTACAAAGAAAAAAGAAAAGAAAAGAGAAAGAGAAGAGAAGAGAATCCTTTTTTCTCCTAAAAAATAAAAAGCTACATATACATACCACCGCTTCTCCCTTCTTCATGCCAAAGCACATAACTACCCCATCGTGATCTCCAATAACCACCTACAATAGATTGAAGAGAATCTGAAATTACTATAACTATGCCTTATTAACTTGTATGGGGGAAACAAGATTCTCAAAATATAAATCATAATTTTGAAAGCAGAGATCAGAAAATCTAGGAAGTTGCCTGTGCAAAAAATAATACTCCAAGAAGTTACAAGAAAGGGGCAAAGTGAAGGTAGGGAGAACAATTATTGAAGTTCTTAGCGATATATTCTCTTCCTACAATGTAAAGAGAACAAGAGAACAGAAACAGAAATAGCAGGGGGGTAATATTTTTCTTTAACTAGAACATAATAATATGTTAAGATTAATTTTCAAAACAGATTATCAGTTAAAGTTGTGACTGACCTACTTGATAGTTTAAAAACCTTTTTAATAGAAAAATTTTGGTAAAAAAATTTTACTGTATGTAAAAGTAGTCAGAATACTATAATGAATCCCCATGTATCCATCACTCAGCTTCAACAACTATCAACATGTAACCAATGGATTATTTTGAAGTAAATACAGATGGAGATTTTAACACTTATATCTCAGGAACTGGTAACCAAGCAGACAAAAGAGAAGGATCTAGATTAGAAAAACAACTACCTCTGATCTAATACGTATGTACATGTGTATGTACATATGCATGTGTACATATGTGTAGGATGTGTGTGTGTGCTCACATGTGCATAAATAAGCAATTCACTCACCCTAAGAATTAAATTATAAATGTTCTTTTCAAGCACACATTAGAAAATTGATGATGTATGAGGACATAAAACAAGTCTCTAATATCAAAGAATTGATGTTGTATAAGCCACATTCTTAGGCCTCTGACTCAACTTTGGGTGTGGGGGATCACAAATCCCTTTGTGCATTTGATGAAAGCTATGGACTTTCTTCCCAGAACAGTGAACATTCACAAATAATTATGCACACATTTTCAGATTTATGGATCTTTGGTACTGGCAGATTTCTATTCAGATGAAAAAATACTAAGAATAGTTAAGGTGTTGAGTTTTTTGTTTTTTTTAACACTACAGTACTCTAATACTTTGTGAAAATAGTAACTACAGGGATTCCCAAAGTGTGATTTTAGATTCCCAGGGTCAACAAGAACTTTGTAGGGAATCTGCCAAATGAAAACTATTTTTCTAAGTAAGTCTTTATTTTTCTTTTTTGCTAGGTTGACATTTACAATTATGATGCAGAGCAATGGTGAATAAAATTGCTGGTGTCTGGCAAGAATCAAAACAATGACAACAAAGCTTACTAGTGGTTGCTGTAATCTTCATCACCACTTGAGAATAAAGAAAAAAATCGAACTTCATGTAAGAATGTTCTTGATGAAGCAAAAATATTATCAATCTTGTTGAATTTCTGGCCCTTGAGTCATGTCTTTTGAATATTTAGTGTGAGAAAATAAAAAATATGCATACTAAAAAGCACTTTTGCTTCATACCAAAAAGGACTTATATACTTGTTTCAGTCACAAGCTGAACTATTCAGTTTTTTCAGGAAATACAAATTTTAAGAATGAAAGAACAAGTGGCAACTGTTAACAATGGTTAAGGGGTGCCTGGGGGGCTCAGTCGGTTAAGTGTCTGACTTTTGGTTTCAGCTCAGGTCATGATCTCACTCATGGTTTGTAAAGTCAAGCCCCACACGCACGAGCTCTGCCACTCAGCTCTGTGCTAACAGCGAGGAATCTGCTTGGGATTCAATCACTCCCTCTCTTTCTGCCCCTCCCTGGCTTTCTCTCTCTCTGTCTCAAAATAAATAAACATTAAAAGAAAAAGACAACTGGGAGCTTGGGCGGCTCAGTCGGTTGGGCATCCAACTTCTTCATGAGCCTCACAGTCTGTGATTTGAGCCCCGCACGGGGCTCTGTGCTGAAAGCTAGCCTGGAGCCTGCTTCATATTCTGTGTCTCCTTCTCTCTCTGCCCCTCCCCCACTTGTATTCGTTCTCTCAAAAATTTAAAAAAAAATTTAAAAAATAGAATAAAATAAAATATTAAAAAAAGACAATGGCTAATAGTAAGCTGTTATTAACACTTGGGTATTTGTAGACATAAAAAAAAAAACAAACAAACAACTAATGGAAGTGAGCTTGTCATTTTAAAGGAAAACAATTGAGAGTATTTGCTCCCAAAGATAAAATTTGGGTCTTCAAGTGAAAATAAATACTTTGGAAGACTTGAATCTGCCACTGTGAGCTTGACAGCTACCTCATAATTAACAACTTTTCTGATCAAATCAGTAATGATATCAACAAATGTGATTTGCTTTATATTCTATAATAACATTTGGAACAGTCAATATTTGAACATTCAACTTTTGGAAGATCTGTATAACTCAATGAACCAAAAATCTCAAATGACCACTATAGGATGCTATAAAATCATACTTGGGTAAAAGATCCATTCAAAATGGTTTTTAATGTACCAAAGTATGAAAAGCTAATAATATGATTTCTTATCCCACATTGCAACTAATGTTTAAGAAACTACTATTTGTCAAGTATATGTGTTATATCAAATACAAAGAGTCATAATTACCTGCAAAAGCTATTTAAATAACTCCTATTTTCAACTATGTGTCTGTGTGAGCTGGATATTCTTTGATACTTCAACCAAAACAACAGGTTGAATGCAGAAAACAGACATGATGCCTTTGCTTATGCCAGACTAAACAATTTGCAAAATTGTAAAACAATGCCATTATTCTCACTTAATCCTCTTTTTGTTTTTGAAAATGCAGCTATTTTTCATTAAAAAGTTATTTATATAATAAACATGTAATAGGTTAATTATTTAAAAAATAAAATAAATCTTATACATCTCTCAGTTTCAATCTTAATATAGTAATCTTGACAGATACAACCTACATAAACAAAAGTTCTTTAGTCCTCAATAATTTAAGAGTGTAAAAGGGTCCAAAGGCCAAAAAAGTTTGAAAAGTTCTGATCTAGGAGACCAAATACAATAAATAACAATCAGAAATCTGTTGATTTATCTGAGTAAAATGTTATTATATCAGAATACTGTATTTATTTTACAGCTATTAAAATATCCTACCAGTCTACTAAGAAATTATAATTGGCTTACAGAAATCATAGGATCAATATTTCTATAAAAATTATCATTATTGTTAAACAGAAAGTTCAACATCAAAATATTTAATTACTCTTAAAAATACAATGAAGTTTAAAAAGCATTTTCCTAGAGCACCTGGGTGGCTCAGTCAGTTTAGCATCCCACTTCAGCTCAGGTCATGATCTCATAGTCGGGGAGTTCCTGCCCGGCATGGGGCTCTGTGCTGACAGCTCAGAGCCTAGAGCTGGAGCCTGGAGCTTGCTTCTAATTCTGTGTCTCCTTCTCTCTCTGCCCCTCCCCCACTTGTGCTCTGTCTCTTTCTATCTCTCAAAATAAATAAATGCAGTGGCACCTGGGTGGCCCAGTTGGTTAAGTGTCCACTTTGGTTCAGATCATGATCTCATGGTTTATGGGTTCGGCCCTGTGTCAGGCTCTGTGCTGACAGCTCAGAGCCCGGAGCCTGCTTCAGATTCTGTGTCTCCCTCTCTCTGCCCCTCCCCTGCTCACACTCTGTCTCTCTCTCTCAAAAATAAACATTAAAAAAATTTTTTTAATAAAAATATTTTCCCTATATCCTGTTGTGCTTTATCTTTCTTTCTTTCTTTCTTTCTTTCTTTCTTTCTTTCTTTCTTTCTTTCTTTCTTTTTTAATATTTTTATTTATTTCTAGGAGAGAGAGAGAGACAGCATGAGTAGGGGAAGGTCAGAGAGAGAGGGAGACACAGATTCTGAAATAGGCTCCAGGCTCTATGCTGGCAGTCAGCACAGAGCCCGACTCGGGGCTTGAACCCACGAACCGCGAGATCATGACCTAAGCGAAAGTCGGACGCTTAACCGACTAAGCTACCCAGGCACCCCTATGTTTCTTTTTTATATGCACAACCGGGTACACACTGAGTAAATTATTAACAAGAAAATGGAATATATTTTTCAACAAGTTTGCTCATACTATATTACAGATTGTACATAAAAATTATAACATCCAACTGTCTGTGGATGTCCCTTGGTATTCCAACCTCTGTTCAAATTAAAACAAATTTATTTACATTTTAACATTAGCATTTTAAAAAAAGTAACTTACTAATAAAGGAATATAAACCTCTCCTCTGTCAGAGCTAAAGAGATAGGCAGAAAGAAACCAGGATCTCTACAGTACCTTTTGTGTAGCTCTATGTCTTGAGGCAGGAAGTAACTTCATAGTCTTCTGAGAGGTCACTCCCACCTAAGGAAACACACCAGCCACCTAGTGAATGTTTTCTGATACACTAATTTGAAATGATTACATAAGAGATTAAAAGGACCAGCAGATTCAGATCACAGTGAGCTTTATTTTATAACACAATTAATGATATGAAATAATTATTACCCGTGAACTTACTTTCAATGAAATACGCCACAAACCACAAAATATAGTAAACACTCCAAAATGGTAAAACTTATGATATAAAGTCATCAAGCCAAAAATAATGTGACACTAGCGGCAACATACTTTATGAACGCATATTTTTAGAAACCTTCGTTAGAAACCTTCGTTAGAAACCTTCGTTAAAAATAACGTTAGAGTTTCTGTAAAGTGATTAAAAATCTTTGGAAATAGATTACAATTATTAAAAGTGCAACATAGAAGATTTTTGTGAAAATCCCGAACATGCTGAGGGCAATGTCATCCAATCGGATAGTGAGGACTATTTTACAAAAGGTATGGAAGAGGAAAACAGCAGGAAACTGTCACTAGTAGCGCACAGTATGAGAAGAGGCAGGGAGGAGGCAGACATTGCAGCAAACAACAGATCCTGAAAGGGATTAAATATAGTGTATAAGTACAGCTTTATTCTGTATTCTAAGCAGCAGAATTAAAGTTTAAAGTAATCTATTTAGATTTGCATTTTTTAAAATGTTTTATTTATTTCTAGGAGAGAGAGAGAGAGACAGCGTGAGCAGGGGAGGGTCAGAGAGAGAGGGAGTCACAGACCGGAACAGGCTCCAGGCTCTGAGCTGGCAGTCAGCACAGAGCCCCACGCGGGGCTCTAACCCACGAACCGCGAGACCATGACCTAAGCGAAAGTCGGACGCTTAACCGACTAAGCCACCCAGGCGCCCCTTGATTTGCATTTTTGAAACATCATTCTAACAAGTGATGTGAAGGATGGCTTGGAGGAGGTGAAGCTGGAGGTTAGGAGCCCAGATAAGAGGCTATTTCAATTACTGGAGAAAGAGAAGATGAGAACCTGAACTGGGGGTAATAGAGATGGAAAAAATGGGATCAAATCAAGAGATATTTAGGATATAAGAAGTAGTAGCCAAATGTGGTGACCAGTTCACTACGGAAGATATTAAGGCGGGAAATACCTGGAGTAACTAACAGGGAAACTGGCCCTGCAAACGTTTGTATCATGAGCCAAAAGAGAATTACTGAAAAAGGAGATGAAAAAGAGGGACGGACGGCTAGGGCTGAAATACTGGGAGGCAGGATGGCCTAAGGGAGAGAACACCAGCTCTGGAGTCTTGAGACTCTGTTGAAGGAACTTCATTCTTTTCCGCTGTTAAGTAAATTACTTTCTCTGAGTCCCTGGACCCCCATCTATAACATTATCTACTCTAAGAATTTTTATGAAGAGTAAATAGTAATGAATGTTAAGCTCTTCGAAGAAATTGCATGCACAATAAACAGTTGTTGTTACTTTATTGATAATCTGGCTGGTGAGGTCCAGCTCAAAGTGAGAAGTGTGTGGAGCTCGAGAGAAGGGGCTGGGGAGAGGATGGAAGGAGATTGGGGAGTTACGGGCCCACCGGTGGCTGAAGCCAGGGAGGACTACTGCCCTGAAGAGGAATCCGAGATCACGCCGGATCTTTCTAGTATTCTAGGCATATTCTACATATATACTCTATATAGAAATTATTGTATTTCTACATATGCTGGCGGGCGCCAGCAACGCGGGAGCGTGTGCCGCTTCTTTCCAAGTCCCCAGGGACCCTCAGGGATGAGCAGGAGCCGCCCGTGACGGCGACGAGGGCGCTGCACCCAGCCCCACTCCGCCGCTGCACTCGCGCCTGGTGACCCCGACAGACGTCACTGCAATGGCAAAATCCCCTCAGGGAGCCGCACCCGCTCCCGGCGACCCCGACAGATGTCAGTGGAAGGACAAAATCCTCTCAGGGAGCGGGGCTCGTCCGGCGCGGCGCCCGCTTTATCCCCTCGGGTTTACCTGTAGATAATCCGCTCGGTTTAAATGTAGGTCCATGATGGTGGCACCGACGCAGCGCCGGGACCGCACGGGAACTACAGAAGCTGCTGGACCTCGAGGGATACCCCTCGCGTCCCTCAGAAGAGCAACCCCAGCTACAAATGGTCTCAGTTGGGGATGCAGAGGCGTGGCGACACGGCTGCAGCGTCCAGTGTGACGTCAACACGTTCACGCGAGGGGAGCCCACGGCCCAAAAAGGAAGCCTCGCCCCTATCCCAAAGGACCGCCCACTGACTTAACCTGCTCCAATCAGAGGCAGAGAGGAACGGAGGAAGTGATCCCAGACACTAGAGAAAGGTGGTTTCCAGGGAGACTGGAGACGCAGTCTTGGCTCCACCCCCACCAGGGACTAGAGCGTCACCTCTTTAAGTCCTTCTCAGTGTAAACCCCTGATGTGAAACTTGTGTTGATTCTGAACTATTTTACTGACACGGGGAAGGGTCCTCCAAAGAATTAGGTTCCACCGTTATAGGCGTTAGCTTACCACAGTTTTGGCCTTACGGCCCCTTTCCAAAACTCTTAAACTATTGAGGACCCTAAAGATATTTTGTTTATAGAAGATCTGCTGATATTTACCATATTGGAAATTAGAACTGGAGGGGCCCATAGGTGACTCCGTTGGTTAAGCATTTGAGCCTTTATTTCAGCTCAGGACATGATCTCAGGGTTTGGGAGTTCGAGCCCCAAGTCAGGCTCCACAACAGTGCAGAACCTGCTTGGGATTTTCTCCTCCTCTCTCTGCCCCAACCCCTGCTCACACGCTTGCGCGCGCTCTCTCTGTCTCTGTCTCTCTCTCTCTCAAGAATTAAAAAAAAAGTTTTAGAAATTAGAATTGAAATTTTAAAAGTGTACTTTAAAAAGCTACGTAAAAATTTTAATGAAAATAACTATTTTTGAGGAAAAAAGAGATAAAAAGACTGGTGTTTGCAAATCTATTTACTGTCCATCTAAATAGACAAGTCACAGATCTACTACTGCATCCCATCTGTTGGTATATGCGGGTTGTTTTATTTAAGTATATGAAGAAAATCTGGTCCCAAATCAACAAGTGGTAGTATTTTTTTTACAAACTAATTGCAATGTGGAATGTGTCTTCATTATATAACATATCCAAGAATCCTATATGTTAATATCATCATGGATTTAATCAGAAAAGCTGTGAAATATCGGAAAGCCATCCAGACATGGATACAAATTTTGCAAACTTCTAATTTGTGCTTAAAAGTTCAAATTTTAAGCATTGGTAACAAATGTCCATTGTTTTCCTTGAGATGATAGGCTCTCTTCTTGAATTTTTTTTAACGTTTTATTTATTTCTGAGAGAGGGAGAGGGAGAGAGACAGCGTGAGCAGGGGAAGGTCCCAGCGAGATGGAGATACAGAATCTGGAACAGGCTCCAGGCTCTGAGCTAGCTGTCAGCACAGAGTCCGACGCGGGGCTCGAACCCACGAACCATGAGATCATGACCTGAGCCGAAGTCAGATGCTTAACCGACTGAGCCACCCAGACGCCCCTAGGCTCCCTTCTTGAATTCACAAGAAAGCGTATACTAAATACCCTAGTCTGAATAATCATAATTTTTGTCAGTTGCGCTTTTTTTTGAAAAGAAGAAATGTTCCAGCTAGCATCTCCAATAATCACACAAATGCCTTTCCTTGACACAATACCCCTCAGTATTCAGTAGAAATGCTTTATGCGTGCTTCCCATTTCATCACACAGAATATCTGAAAGAAATGTCTTCAAGATGAGACTTAAAATTAACAACTTTTATTCCTTGACAACAGGCATTTTTATATAAAATTTTGTATTCTGCCACTATGTGGCATGAAGAATGCAGTGACTATTGAAGCCACTGCTTTGATTCATGGCTTAAGCACCAGCAGTATTAACCACCATTGCTTTTGTACATCAGTGCAAATGTCAACACAGTGAAAAAGGCAAATAACATCTTAGTGTAATTAAAATAGTTTCAAAATCACAGACCTCCTGAAAAGACCTCAGGGACCTGCAGATTACTACTGGCCTAAAATGACCCAAGGTCTGATTAAGAGCTGACATTCCCTGATCCTTTGATCATTTCTTCCTTAATGCACACAGTGTTGTGCCTAAAGAAATGCTACATACAGATGAGTAAGATACAGTCTCTTTCCTGATTTCTTTGGTCTACTAGGAGAGAGTTCACAAATGACTGTGAAACAAGAATTGAAACCCTGGGAAGGGGATGCTTCTTAGGAAGAAAAATTATTTCCTGTAAGGAACATGAGAAGGTTTTGACTAGATACAAGAATGTTCCAGACAATTCTTTCTCTGAGGCTAAAATAACTCCATGTTAAAATAGACAGCAGGGCCTGGAGATGGGTTAGGTATGTAGCAACTTGGGAAAAATACATACCAATTTAGACTCAACAAAAATACAGATAAATTTCAGAAGTAAACTGAAAAATAAAGCCATAGGGGAGATAGGAGAACACAGAGTTGTACAGAATTTTATAGAATTTAGGGAGTTGGAAGGAGGATTAATTTGCTAGGGCCCCCATAATAAATTACCACAAACTGGGTGACTTTATCCAACAGAAGAATTTATTTTCTCACAAGTTTCACAGGCTAGGAGTACAAGATCAAAGTGTCAGCAGGGAACCAAACCAATCTTCTAAGACTTCTCACCTTGGCTTGTAGATGCCCATCTTCTCCTGTCTTCACAAGGTCATTCTTCTTTGCAAGTCTGTATCCTTATCTCTTCTGATAAGGAAACCAGTCAAATTGGATCAAGGCCCATCCTAATGACCTCATTTTACCATAACTACCTCTTTAGAGATCTTACTTACAAATACAGTTAGATTCTGAGGTACTGGGAGTTAGGACTTCAACATATGGATTTAAGTGGGATAAAATTCAGCCCATATCAGAAGGGAACTTGTTTGATCTTCTAACAGGAATAAAAGAAATCACAAAGAAAAAAACATATGTTAAGAATAAAGATGAAACATTTCAATATGTGACAAAATTTTTTAAATATAAACAAAAATTTGGGATATATACACAAACTTACTATCTTTATAAACAGTTCATACAAATTAATAAAAAAAAGAAATAGTATTATTCCAATAAGTGAACAGGTAAAAATATGAGCAGACATTTCATAAAGAAAGTGGCTACTGAACAAACTTACAGAAATCCATTACCTTCATTTGTAATCAATAATATTAAAGCAAGATACCTTTTTATTTTACCTTTAAAATTAGAAAAAGATTTAAGTGATAACACTGCATACTGTAGAGACAGCATGTGCTCATCAACTGTGATACTTTAAACTGGCATTAAAACCCTTTCAAAAGCAATGTAGAAATATGCATCCAAACCTATAAATGTTGGATATATTTTTTTAAATATTTTTATTTATTTCTAGGAGAGAGAGAGAGACAGCGTGAGCAGGGGAGGGTCAGAGAGAGAGGGAGTCACAGACTCTGAAACAGGCTCCCGGCTCTGAGCAGGCAGTCAGCACAGAGCCCGACTCGGGCTCGAACCCACGAACTGCGAGATCATGACCTAAGTGAAAGTCGGACGCTTAACCGACTAAGCCACCCAGGCGCCCCACATGTTGGATATTTTTAACCCATAACCCCAATTTGGGACATTCAGTTTACAGAAACAAAGCAAAGTAACAAGTCACCAGTGAGGAACCACTAAAATGCGGACCTAACTATCCAATAATAAGGAAACGGTGCATCCACTTTATCGACTACTATGCAGGCACTGAAAGTGTAAATAATGAAGGCTGGAAAGTAATATGGAAAGTGCTCAGGATCATAATAAAAGCAGAATATAAAATAGTGTATATATTATGAATACAATTATAGGAAAGGACTTAGAAATAAATCCAAAAATTTTTTGTTGGTTATAAAGGATTATAAACTTTCCTCCTCCCGTTTTGTGTTTTCCATAGGATTTTTGCATTATTTTAAATAAAATTTTGCAATTTAAAAATAAAATTAAAACTTAAGTGATTCTCAGAATCCTGTGTTTAACCCTGCCTCGTTTCCAAAGTGGGTATTGTACTGTCCCTATGACTGCAAGTTTCTGTTAAAGGGTTTTCCAGGACAGTGGGTACCAAATCTTCCCATTGTCTATTTTCTCGTCTTGGCAGTGCATTGTTAACAACTTACAGGAAATGGTACTGATATTATTATTGCTGTGTTTACATTATAACAAAGAAATGAAAATACTGAAAATAATGAAAACCTGATGAAGTGGGCAGGAATTATCTTTTTAAAAATTACTCCGGTAAATTTGATAAGTATTCCAGGGCTGGGCAAAATCTAGAAACCATTAATCTAATGTTTTCTCTTTTGGATCACAAACCACTTTCATAGTAATATATAATCTTTCAAAGCCCATAGGAATTTTAAGAATAATTTCATTTTTTCATTGTGCAATCTTGTATTTAATCTGGGCATCTACAAGCTGAGATGAAAAAAAGAAATGTATAGAAATGTAGTTTTAAAGAAAAGGCATTTTATTTTAGATTGTTATATTATTTAAGGTAGCATTATAAAATTCATCTTCTTGGAATCTTTTTAATTTTTTAGGTTTATGTATTTTTGAGAGACAGACAGAGAGTGAGAGAGGGTCAGAGAGAGAAAGGGAGAAAGAGAATATCCTAAGCAGCCTCTACACTGTCAGCATGGAGCCTGATGCAGGGCTCAAACTCATGAACCTGTGAGATCATGACCTGAGATGAAACCAAGGGCCAGATGCTTAGCCAACTGAGACACCCTGGCTCTTTTTGCAATCTTTATAATATTTGTAATCAAGACATATACTGGCAATACTTATTTTCCATTTAACAAATGATGCCCACTGTTTATTTACTTTAATTGTGTAAAAGAAAAGAATTTTATTTTTAAGATCAAATTTATTTTAAAACATTGAAATGAGGACTTGATACAGCATCAAAAATACACAAAAAGAGCTTAAATAATATGATACTTGGAATTCTTTCATTTTGCATCTAGAAAAGGCAAATGATTTTTTTAAGTACTGTGTTTTGTTTCTAAATGGCAAAAGTTGCAAAGTACTAATTTTAAATACTTCTTATATAATTAGCAGGCTGGGGAGTTTTTATTCACAAAAATGAAAAGCCAAGTTAGACAAAGTTGCCACTATAATTTCTCTTTTTAAACATATTTTAAGGTACTAGAGATATCTTGGTGGGCTACATTTAAAAAAAAACACGAGAAAATTATTATATCTCAGATGTGACAAAAATCACCTTGAGACAGATTTACAGAGGTATCACGCACTTCAATAACTTA